CCCCATGAAAAATACCCAAACTTCTATTTTGTGAATGGACTTAGTGGTCATGGTATACAGCATGCCATTGGAGTTGGTAGAGGTGTTGCGGAATATATCTATGATAATACTTTTATGTCAATAGACTTGTCCAAATTTTCATTTGATAGAATTGAAAAAAATGAAAGGTTAAATGAAGAAATGATTGTGTAAACAGAATAGCTTTAAGCTTTATTTAAATTATACATATATTTTAACATAATTTCTGATGCATTTTGACTTTTCATTTTTAATAAAAACTTGCCAAAATTTGATTTTGACCCAAAAGTTTGAAAGAATGGATGGTAAAGACATATGGAATTAGTCATCTGATTATTTTATTTACCAGCTGATAAACTCAATGTCAGCTACTTGTGGAATTTCAGAACTTAGATAAAGATTTTTTATATTTGCCTTATGAGCTGATAGAGCCTATACTATCCGTTTACAGCTATCCAAAATTAAAAAATAATCTCTCCGCCCACTATGCATCAAAGACATATCATGAAAGTTTAGATAGACTGTTGTCACTCAGACATAGACATTCATTGATATTGGAAACACAAGATCCACACTAGTTCTAGAAGCTCTTAGATTGGTAAATCCTTCCAAATTCTTGGTAACATAATTTTTGTATCTTTAAAACATTAATAAAGAGACACTCACATACAATGCTCATCACAATTAATGATCTTGATAATACTTGATTTTACCCTTTCAAATCTTTACTACTTCAGAGAATATAGATTGATTGACAAAAAACAATTTAAGTTGTTATGTTCAAATTTTTAATGCTAGACTGCAAAGCTCCACTTCCAAAAAAGTCAAAATTTGCCCCTTGGGGGTAATAACCCCCTAGGTTGAAACCCCAGAAGCGCAGGTGGCGAATTTATTTCAGTGGCTCACTAAATTCTAGAATTTGATAACATTTGTTAGGCGATGGGAGATCTTGTTTGAATACATTGAAATAATGAAAAATTCATTGATGAAAATATCACAGCAAATTTTATCTAAGTTTTTCTTTATTTGAGTTTCGCTTCCACCAACATCCTTTCATTAAACTCTTGCATTTGACACTCTACCAAAGACTAAGGAACTAATATAAGTATGAAAATGACAGCACAACTTTATTTGGTTTTTTTGCATACAAATATGGTGTCATTAGATCCAAATTTAGATGCTCTGTTGCCTTGGGCCTATGTGCAAACGCTTGGTCAAATATTTTAATACCGTCACATAATAGAATACTAGTGCAGTTCTACTTTTAAATCATATGGACAGTGACCTTTAAAAATCATCTTAACTTCTTGACCCCTGCACCTTCTTGCAGTCACCTTTAAACTTCTTCATGGTTACACCAACAGTGAAACATCTATAATAACAATGTTTGTAGGTAGAAAGTCAACATTCTGATTATTTATACTAGAATTATAGTGTACACTAGTTAGAATTGTGATATGTTTTGTGTATAAAATAATGCAGGAATATCTGTCTAACTCTATGTTATATGTCTGTAGGATGGAATCATTGATTTTTCTCTCTATCTTGTCTGGTTAATGTAAGTCTATGTAAAGTACACACTGTCTCTAGTGGAATAACTGAGAGTTGAATAATCTTATACTTTCCTCCAATTCAATGGTATGTAGATGATCATCTTACATTTTGATTCTATTTGTGTTCAAGCCATTCTTACAATTTAAAGGCACATATAGATTTCGTTTTCAGGTTTTCGCATGCCTGTACCAGCCATCTATGATCTTACAAAGTTCTTTTTTTTTACTAGTGTTCAGTCATATTTTAACAAATAGCATTGAAAGCTGTCACCATTTATGTTAACCCATCAAAAAAACATATAAAGTAGGCTGACAACACATTATGTTCAGTATCTTGAAATTACCAAAATGAATGAGTTTGAACAAAAAACTAAAACTTGACATCAGATCATGGAGTCGCCTGGAGAAAAAACATGAAACCAAATATACAGATCTGCATTTTAATTCTGATGAGATTTTAGAAACTTTTAGGGGGATGCCTTCAGTTGCTATTTGCACCATCTTTGCAGTGGTGTAAATTTGAATGGCAAGGTTTGTCACTAGACTATCTTCATTACATGACTGGTTAGTCTTGTTTAATAGTTTCAATGTCAACCTTTCAAACTAATAGCTTTATCTTGTTTTTGGTCATTTAGGACATAGCTTCCAGGCATGACTTTCTTCAAAATATATTAGATTTAATCATAACAAAATATACATATTTATAATGACCTAGTGTGTTTATCAAGCAAGGGGAGTTTATTCACGGTAAGCACATATAAGGAATTTAAATATATTTTATGTATGAGGTAGGTTGATAGAAAATTTGGTTTTATGTGAATGCATAATTATAATTTATAATTTGGTCATATAAGCTTATTGTATATTGTCCTTTCACATTTAGCTTGTGCTCACTCTACAGGCTACCATTCTTTATGAATCCTTTGTTTTTATTTTGTGGGTCAATGTCATGATGAAGATGATCCCTATTGATTTTCGTGATGATATGATAATTTTTCACCAAAATGTCGTTTTAAACTTAGTGTATTCACTATTGTTGTATTTAAAAGGCATCATCACCATTTAGGTATTACATTTACATAATATAACATAACACTTCCCCAGAGAAATCATGTTCCAGGTTTGGGGGTGTGAACATGTGTATGAGCATTTGTAAGGCTCAATCTGAAAAAACAATTTGAATACAATGTGGTAACCGGTCAAATAATTCACTGGACATTTATGTCAACATACAAAAAAGAATTTCATTGTTAGTCCAGAATGTAGGTATAATGAGTGTCAACAAAGGTAAAGGTCTAATGTTTTGTTGTATGACTAATTCTATCCTGTGATATTTGATTTTATACAATACTTGTTTAGTTTCACCCTTTGATTTATTAACACTTAGTTTAAAGATAAAGGGTCAAATTGACATGAAGTAGGCATATCCAACAGTATCCATATTTAGTTCAGGAGGATCATTATATTGGTGTTTTAGATACTTTGAGGACATAAGGTGGACTAGTCGCAAACATTTGCCTCTTACAGCCTCAGAAATATATTTTGAAAAAGTAATCGGAAAATTCCCCACTAAACAGGGCCTAGTCTACACTAGACAACAACTTTCAAAATAGCCATCAGAGGCCATAGTGGAGGCAGATGTTTGGGGTTTAAAGGTGTACTAACAGCTACAAGGTAGATCCTTAACATATTTTAGTCATAGAAAGATATGGAGGCTTAACATTTCAAATTTCACGAAAATATATAAATTCTAAGTCATTTGTTCTTAGTGGTGGCGCTATCCTCCAGAAATTGGAGGTACGGAGTGCAGACTGAATCAGTGGGGGGCGCGCTGTGGCAACATCATAGGTTAAAGCTGCCTTGGAGGTTCTAACCCAGATCATGTTGACACATATTTTGCAATAAAATTTATGAAAAAATTATTTTGAAATTTCTCATAAATAAAATGGGGGAAACTTGAGGTTTCAAACTGTATCCCCATTGGCACTGCAACTATTTGTTCTGTTGCATCAGTTGATTTTGATTGGTGAGTGAATGTTTGATGACCTTCAGCAAGCCATCATCCTAATTTAGAAAACAAAGATTCAAATCCTAGGATAAAATAAGACCTATGGAGTCCTCTTTTATGCTCTTATTTGATCTAAGGCAGTAGATCTAAAAAATGATTCCAGTAGTGGTCATTTCATTGAAATATTTTTGATTTCAGTCAATCATCCACCTCCATGCTAGAAAATGAAGAACCGAGCCAGAAATGATAATGACTGTTGTAGTCTGTTGTTTTTAAGATATGTTATATTTGTTTTTAATACAGTATTTTGGGTAAGTGAATAATTTTTTTTTTCTTATTTCTTATGGAATCTGTATGTCTTGCAGCCTAGATTTTATAGACCCATTCTGTATCTGCCAAAAGTTCCATCATCCAAAGTGTTGATCATTTGGTTTGCAAATAAAAAATGAGGGTGGCGAATAATTGTTTGCCACCCGGGTGGCGAATATCCTTGGCCGTTTGTTTATATTACTTCACGCCTTGTTTTTTAGTTTCCTTGACTACTTCACATCACATTAACAAAGTTCTTCTTCAAAGTATGTTCAGTCCAATTTGTTTTGCTTATCGGAGACACTGATAGCATCAATTTACCCCATTCAAATTTTCTATCGGACGACTATGGTTCCTGCATTCCACTAAAACTAAGTGTTTTATGACGTCACCCCTGCAAAATTTGCTTGTATCGCATTAAACCTTTGCTAGTGTTATATTTGTGTTTGGGGGTGAGAGTGACCACGTGTGAATAAATAGTACGCCATCTTGGGTTCCATCACTGTCCCAGAATCCTTTGGGAACAGTATGCTTTTATTTATATATAATGGGAGATAACTCCTACTAAACAGTTAAAAAAACATTAAGACCATAATGATTTAACCTATATGACACTAGGGTGACATCATAAAACTCTTAGTTTAAGTAGAATTCAGAACTACAGATGTCTGATTGAAAATTTGCTATGGCGCAAATTGATGCTCTAATTGTCCCCGATACACAATTTACAAAACCTCTTTACAATCCCGTTAATATCAAAATATTTTAAAACCACTGTTGATGATATATTATGCAGATATTAACATGTACTAAGTAAGTCTGTACTGGGACTGTTTCTATAAAAAGTCTGTTTATCATTGTTTATCTATTATTTATGTATTTGGTGTTATCTTGGTATTTAAAGTAAAATAGTACCAAGTCTGAATATGCAATATGCAATAGAAATATAGTTTAAGTAAGTCATTCTGAATCCTACATGTGAAATATTGATAAAGTAGGTTAACTTTATTACCATAAGTTATACTTTATTTAATTTGAATTTGACTTAGTCTTGAATATCAAGCATTAAATTTTTCATGGAAACGTTTTAAAAGTTTCAAAAAGTTGCCAAAATATTTGATTGCTCTACCAGTCCACAGAGCTTAATTTCAGCCATATGCACTGATCAGAATATAATCTGATTTTTGTTTCCACTGCAATTCAATCATGTTCCATATTACTTCAAGGCCATTATAAACTTTTTCATAACTGATGATGTTACAATATTGTTAATATCTGGATATGAAAGTAATTTTAATTGATGATAGATTTATCTTCCACTGGAGGTAGTGTATAATCCGAAGATCGAAGATCGCAGACCTGTATAATCCGAAGATCGCAGACCCCAACTATAATCCGCAGACCCCCTATACTATATTCGGCAGACCCAACTATAATCCGCAGACCCCCTATACTATATTCGGCAGACCCAACTATAATCCGCAGACCCCCTATACTATATTCGGCAGACCCAACTATAATCCGCAGACCCCCTATACTATATTCGGCAGACCCCAACTATAATCTGCAGACCCCCTATACTATATTCGGCAGACCCAACTATATTCGGCAAACCCCCTATACTATATTCGGCAGACCCAACTATAATCCGCAGACCCCCTATACTATATTCGGCAGACCCAACTATAATCCGCAGACCCCCTATACTATATTCGGCAGACCCAACTATAATCCGCAGACCCCCTATACTATATTTGGCAGACCCCATATAGGGGGCCTACTTTTTTTATTTTTTGAAGCCATTTTTTGAAGCAATGTTTGGATATGCGTCGATAATTAGACTTAGGGATGAAATCATATAGACATCCAGAGGTGTGTACAAAACATTGTAATCTCCACCTATTACGTTTTTACTTGCAAAGTATATCAAAAACTGCTTTTGGAACTTTGTGGGCTAGTAGCATTTTTAGTGGCAACATGCCATCCATCACAATTTGGGCATTTCCATGCTATGCCTCCCTCCCCACTCTCGTTTCTCCACCGCTTTGGGTTGACATCCTTGGATGTTGGAAATGAGGAGGGTTCAAAATTAGTGGAAATTACATTGTACAGTTTCCAAAAACCATAATCTGTTGCCGAGCTTTAGTGTAACTTTCAAAGAGACCGTTTGATTACGCTAAACCAAAAACAAAAACTGTTTTATTCAATGGACATAGTCACAAAATAACAAAATGCAAAATAATTCTACATGATCCTATTCTAAGGCACTCATTAATGTAATTAGTAACTACAAAATGTAGTTAAGCTGTTCGTTTAATGTCTTAATATGTGACTCAAGTAGTCGATCTCTAATATTAGCCGTAACTACAACGTTCTCGTCATGCGATGCTTTAAACACCGTGCCAAAGGCACCACTACCAATTTCTTCTAAATTTGAAGTGTCTTTCCATTTAAAATTTGAAAATTTACTCAGTTCCTTATCCTCCTTTACAGAAATTCGGGCAGGTATTCTAAACATGTATGAAATATTGGAAACCCTCTCTCAAGAGAATCAAATTTACAACTGAAGAATATATCATTTAATTTATGTAATACATGCACAGAGTGTGTGAAAGGAGCTCATATTCTATAAAGCCCAGTGAATAAGGGAAATATATGAACCAGCTGATGAAATTTTCGTTATAGTAATGCCGAGTCAGTCCTTTGAAGTCAAAGATCAATCGAATTCAAAGCTTTTGACATGAAGTCAAATTACTGTGACCTTGAAACATTGTACTACATGTCAACCATTCAGGCATCTAATGTTGTAAATAAGAAAGAAATTCTGAAAGTGTTAAGATTTAAAAAAAATGAAGAGGGGGGTGGGGGGGAATATAGTATATAGGGGGTCTGTGGATTATAGTTGGGTCTGCCGAATATAGTATAGGGGGTCTGCAGATTATAGTTGGGTCTGCCGAATATAGTATAGGGGGTCTGCTGAATATAGTTGGGGTCTGCCGAATATAGTATAGGGGGTCTGCGGATTATAGTTGGGTCTGCCGAATATAGTATAGGGGGTCTGCCGAATATAGTTGGGGTCTGCCGAATATAGTATAGGGGGTCTGCCGAATATAGTTGGGTCTGCCGAATATAGTATAGGGGGTCTGCCGAATATAGTTGGGGTCTGCCGAATATAGTATAGGGGGTCTGCCGAATATAGTTGGGTCTGCCGAATATAGTATAGGGGGTCTGCGGAGTATAGGGGGTCTGCGGATTATAGTTGGGTCTGCCGAATATAGTATAGGGGGTCTGCGGATTATAGTTGGGGTCTGCGATCTTCGGATTATACAGGTCTGCGATCTTCGATCTTCGGATTATACACTAACTCCACTGGATGTTGTTTTTGAGTAGAGAACCAGAATCAGACTTAAGAATTCAATTCTGATAAGTGGTACAGATAGACAAAGCTAAGCGCTATCAGTAAAGCAAATATATCTTTCATTACCCATTTCATAATATAATATTATTTAGTTCCCTACAAATCCATATAACCATGTCTTCTGTTTCTTTTTTTCAGATAACTGGTTTAGCATTTCTCGCAATAGGTGTTTGGACACTAACTAGTAAACATGACTATATTAGTTTACTAGGTAACAATATGTTTGGTGCCACTACTATTTTATTTATTAGTATTGGTTGTATTATTATACTGGTTGGTATACTAGGTTGTGTTGGTACCATCAAATCTATTAGATTCTGTCTTGTATTAGTAAGTATTGTAACTGTTTTCTTATGGATAATGACTGACAAAAATAGAATATATGTCACATTTGATTAAATTGATTACAAACAACGATTATGATTTTTGTTCTGAAAAGTGATATGGAAAATAAGCTTCATCAGCTTTATATATCCCTTTACGTCAAGAATGATTAGATCCAATTCCATGTGTGATTAAAAACAAGGTTGAACTAGTATGAAATGATGGGGTTGAGTAGCAAAAAGATGCCATCTTTAACTCATAACTGATCAAATACACTGAGACATTTTGGGAAAAGGTTTGTGCAGATATTGAATGTTACTGTTAGATCTTCACCCAGCTCCATATAAGATGAAAATATAATGATAATTCAAAATCTTGTTTTAGCTTGATATACTCTTCTATTTTCAGTATGCCTGTTTATTAATAGTGATATTTCTATTAGAAGCAGTAGCAGGGATATTAGCCTATATGTATGAAGGAGCTGTAAGTGGTTTTTTTTAATTATTGAAACAATAAAGAAAGATATCTAAATGCAAATACCTACTGTGATGTCAAATGTTGTTCTAAGAATTCAAACATGGCTTCTTGTATCTATCTGATTACCATGCTTTCATATGCTAGGGTTTTGAGTGAATTTTTAAGGGCGTAGGTCATTGGCGGAACTTTTAACAGCGATTCCTACCGACAAAAATTTGTCGTGGACATGAGCAGACACACAAGTGAACTTTTTGAGCCGTTTTAAAATTCTCTACAATTGGGTGATAAAATTTGCTTGCCTAGCCCCAGCATAATATCACAATGGTCTTGCTGAGTGCTTTCTTAAGAGGAAGTTTAGTGTTCAAACTATGTTAAATTTATTTGAGCAATGTTTATTATAGATTCGAGATGAATTGACACGTAATTTAAATGAAACAATGATAGAAAATTATAGATTTGATACAAGAATAGATGAAGCTGTTGATAGTATGCAGAGAGAGGTAAGAATGTCATTTACAACTGGCCACTTTTAATCTGGAACAATGTCAGTTACATAGAAACAATTCCATTAGTATGTTAATTATATAAAAAGCATATTGCAGTTCGTAAGACAAGATTGACAAAAAGACATTTAGGAAAAAAAATTGGGGCACCAAAGAGAAGCTTTTCATCCAATCTGGTAAATCTGATTGACTTCATCTTGGACAAGTTAGATTTAGATGGATTATAAATGCTGTAGGAATATTTCACCAATTTATTATACATAATACCACTTCTATTATAACTTCTGTCCACAGTTTCAGTGTTGTGGAGCTGGTTCCTATAAAGACTGGAAATATTCCAGATGGCTACGCTTAGATACAACAACATCAAATAGAGCTCCAGATTCATGTTGTATGACACCAAGCCCGAATTGTGCTGGTAGAGATCATCCATCTAATATCTACTGGACTGTAAGTACTATTTTACTCTTCTTATGTTTTGTTCATTTATTCTATTCAAGTTCTTTGGAAAGTATATCTCCATTTCCCAAACTAAGTGACCTGATTTTATATCCCAAATACTCATTGGTAGCATGTGATGAGCTCCTTGCTATTTTGATACACCTTGGTTGTATATATTTTAAGTGTATCAGGCCATTTATGGCTTCTATTTGCATCAGATCTGTCCTTTAGAAATGCTGAACCTTGTATTTATATTTTAGGGATGTTCACGGCAATTAGAACATTTTATTAAAAACCATCTAATAATAATTGGTGGTATTGGTTTAGGATTCTGTTGTATACAGGTGAGCTTAATAGTCACAATGATTTTATTTTGGCAACAAAACAGGAACAAGATTATTAATCACATTCTGATTTGGTCTACCAACTGGTCATCTTTTATTTTGTTAGGACTGACATAGTTGTTAGGATGGGACAGTTAACCGAGGCCCAATGTGTTATAGGCAGGGCACATTTAAGATCTGTCAAAAGTTGGAAGGCTAATGCTGTTGTCCTTGCAAAATTTCCATCATTGTTCACTGCATTGCAGACAAGTAGAATGTAAAAATAAAACCCTTAGTCCTGTAGTTATATATATCCAGCAAATAATATATTTAAATATTCAATCTCTTTTGTAGGTGTTTGGAATAGTATTTGCTTGTTGTTTAGCTAGAAAAATAAAGGAAAGTAAAGAAGGATATTGAGCTGAGGTTCTATCAGGATGAAACTTGATCTAGTCAGAAATATATACCTTATATAGAGATTATTGTCTCCTAGCATTATAGTCTATATTATGTTTTGAGCTGAATGAGGGCCTCTTTTATTTTTAATCCTATTTTTACGATTAAATTTTAATTTTCCTCAGTATTTTATAAACAAAATTTCAGACATTTTCTGCATTTATGACAGTTTATGTGATATATTCTGATAGTGAGGTTGGATAACAAAATTTCTTATGACATTTATGTTGAATTAAAATTCGAAAATGGCATGAGTATAATTTCAATGTATAATTTAACAGCCTTTGGCAGATATTACAGGTCACAAATTTTTCTTGTAATTATAAGCCATAAGTCATTTTCTGTCTATGTGCCATTTGCTTTATGCTTATGCTCAATCTGGCCATATTGCTCATGAATCAATTACGTGTATTCCCATAGTTCAGAAGAAAGTCTATAAATATGGCTCCAAAAGCTCTCACCAATATAGCTCACATTTAATTATTGCTCTTAGTGATTATTCCGTCATTTATAAATCATATCATAGAAATTTATTTATAGATCACTGAAAATCCAGTATTTTTTCTAGTGTTCTGCATGTACCTCACTTGTGATTCCTTCTTATTATTTTTTGAAATTCACTTTTCATATTTCATAAGGGACCATTAAATATACCTGATTTTTAGTTGCTATTTAGCTTATTGCATTGCATGCAGGAACATTTATCTGACATTATTGCAAGTTTGCGACTAAGAGCAAATCATTCCTTGTCTATGGCTCTCTAATCTAGTGTTCCCAATTTTGGATTTTGTACCGGTACATTTCATGATAATTGAACTATAGGTTGTGTTCTTGTTTTATTTATATGATATTTATGCATTTCACAGAATGCAATTATATAATTTTTCATGCACTTTTTTTCTTCACATTAGTTAAAAGGTGCCTGGACACTTAGATATTACCAGTTGCAAGAAATGAAAGTGGTCATGCATTCCATATGAATCTCACAACCCAGTTGCATGAGAGTTGTAATCAAAACTCATGACTAATATTCTTATTACCAACCATACTCAACTGGTGATCACTATGGTGTCAAGCCACTTCAGATATATATTTGTTACTATTTGGTGAAAATAATGCATGATGAAATGGTGGCAATATGTATGCAGGTCGTCAAATTACTTGTAGTTCATGTGTCTCTGGTTTGATAATCATTTACTTACAGCTGTAATGATATATTTCCAGGAGAAGTGATTATAAATATTCTTGGTTTTTTTATTTGTCTTAAACACAGACCTTTAATTAGGAACGATATCGTGAGAATTTGTAAAGGCCACCTTTCTACATATAAGGTTCAGAAAACTTTTGTTAAAAAAACTTATATCAAACCAGATATGCTTTAGTCACATTTTTTTCTTCACTCGTCTTCAATGATAGTTTTTATAAAATAGGAGAATTTGTTCATTTTATTTTAAATTGTGCTAACTTTATGACCACTATCTAGTAGAAACCATTTTCACCTTATAGTGCTTTTAGTCAGTTTTGTGCACCATATTTTATATTATAGAATATTTTTATTCTTTGTGAGAATTTTACCACTTGTATTACTTGTTATCACAATAAATTTCATTTTTCAAAAATGTTTTTTTGAGAGTTCTTCAAGAAGATAAAGAGGACTATTGATATATTAGTGTCTTGTACTTTATTTGGCTTGATGAGACCTCAAATAGAGCTTGCATAACTTATCTCCCTATTCAAGGCTTCTCAAGATTTAGAATTCCTTGACATGTTTCCCAACATGAGTAATAAAACATATGCCATGAAATTGATCTATCAGTACTTTTCCTAAAAGTGATATGCAGTAAATGATTGATAAAAGCTGCAAAACTATTTATCTATACTTCTTTCAATTTTTGCACTATGTATATCAAATTAATTTATTGTTGGATAAACACGAGGTACAAGTATTAAAGATTTGTCAAGGGAACTGGTATTATTTCCAATGTGATACAATACAATCAGAAAATACCAACATAATTTTCTTAATTCAAAAGTTAACAATCAATGAATATAAGATACTAAACAATGAAACGACAACACAAACTTGATGAAAATCAATACCAAACTTTTTCATACCAGTGACAGTGCTCTCTGAATCTCGGGTCAGGCCAAGACACTTTATTTCTATTTCCAGAACAGTAAAATCCAGAGGTCAAGACATAACAACACATTGTATAAATACGCTCACTTGGCACAATTTTCTCTGGAATCATCAAACCATTAATTTAAGCATGTTTTGGCCAGTTTAATTTGTTCAAGTTTGTGAGAATGCATGAAGTTTGAATTCATGTAATTCATCGTTTCAAAAGAGGCCTAAGATGAACATCAACGTAATGTTATACCTAATGTCTTTGCTAACTGTAATCTTAACAAACTTTGTAATTTCCAAGAAGTGATGTAAGATAAAGCCTGGTCATGTGAGATGTAAGTAAAACGATAACAGCGACTCCATTTAGAGGTAGTCAAGTCCTGAAATCTATCTAATAATGTCACATTCTCAACACAATCTCCAGTTATATTCCTGATAATATTACACATTCTTAACTCATCAAATTCTTCACTTTCTTTCTCCCATAAACTTAAATCATGAACAAATTTCATAGGGTACAAATAAAATGGTTTAAATTCAATCGGCCATTTTGAAACATCTTCAAATTGTGTAGAAAAACGTTGATCCTTAGACCATAGGAGTCTGATTTGGTCAATACCAAAAACTATTTGAGTTAATTTATCCAGATAAAGTAATAATGTATAACAATCATTGGATAATAGAATAGACCCAATTTTCACAGGTGTTACTTTCCCTTTCATAATGACCTCTGCACATTGATTGGCGGTGTCACAAATTTCAAGATCCAATGTACTCAAGGTACCCAAAGTTTCTAGCACATTTTGGGAAAAAGAGTCAAAAGAAATTGAAGACACAATAGGACAAACTACCAGAAATTCATGTTGAACTGGAATACTGTTCAGGTTTATTAAACAGGGTCGAGCTGTTATACCTGCACTATAGTAACATTTTGATTCACATACAGACAAAGATGATAGATCACCTAACTGCTCCATCAGTGACGTCCGAATTTTCAGTTGATCATTTGAATGACCATTAGAAATATGACCATTAGCATTATTGAAATTCTGATCGAACAATTTTTCTGATTCAAAGTCCTTGTTCTCATCTATGCCATCAGATTCTTGAGTATCAATTTCTTTTTCCTCTGTCTGAGCTGGAACTTGTTGTAAAAGATAAGATTTAGATGTATCAGCAGAGACTACACAAATGTACCATGGTAGTTCTAATTTCTCCACAGGAATGTCTACTTTCTTCTTAAATTCTTCAACAAAGCTGTTCAGTACTAGAGCTATGGGATGACTTTTATCTTCAACAAGATTTCTGCAATCAAAATTAAACCTAACGTGATAAACCACCAACAATATTTCATGTACTGTTTGAAAACAGGCACATCGATATTTTTTCAATCTTAGCATTATCCCTCTCTTAACAAAATGGAAAATAAATATATTTATACTTGTAACAATTTGACACTGATTGGACTACTGAAGATGAGCAACTAAATGTGCAATGAAAGAAATCAGTATCAGATATTGAGGGAGCCGTTTCAATTTCCAACTGTTAAGTGAACTATGTCGACCAGCTAATTAGCCTAATCAAGTGCAGAAAGGTCGAATGTTTAAGTCAAAGCAAACAAGGACTTCAAAAAAATAATATTTAACCTGTTTAATTTGTGTTGAAGGTATGGTGGACAAGTATAATGTTGTTCCTCTATTTTAATAGTGTAATTATTCACCATTGCAGGTACAGGCACTTGATCACTTAACTCAAAAACATGAGTTATTGCCCCTTCTGTGTTAAACCCTTTATCTTGACTTCTGAAAAGAGAAATTGAATCATGACTACGGTACATAATAAATAATCATTATTCAATCTAAAATGTGTTAATTTTCTTCAGATATTAGATGAAAATATATACATCTTAATTTCTTATACATTCTAATATATTGCCTGATAAAATAGCTAATATGTGATGAAATAGGACATACCGAAATCCTGTACTATTGTAGCTGGTATAATCATTGACATCAAAAGGTATAACTTCTCTTAGAGTTAGATTAGAATTGGTTGCCATGGAAACTATTTGCCAACTGTCATGCCATTCTCTTCTTGGTTTATCTGCAGGAGTCCCACCTTGACCTCTACACAAGGTCACCATTATTTGACCATCATCTTCCAAAATCTGGGAAGCACTGAAAAAATTGTTTTGTACTAGTAATCAACCATAAACCAAAAAAAAAAGAAAAACTTACAGCCTCTGTTTCTTTGTAAAAAGTTAAATTTTAACACCTTAATTGCTGTTGACATCCTATAGAGTAACCTTGCTAGAATTAAAGGGCCATTTAGGGGGGTTGATTTGAGTCTTGAGTATAGGAAAATAGTCTTCAGATGTACTAGAAATGTGCGAAAATCGCATAATTCCTATTTACATATATGTCTATATATGGCAGTCTCTCAAGAAAAAATGAGTTTTTAACTTTTGAACGTACACATAGATTTGAAGGCTCAAATTTTGATGGTGAGCTGTGAACACTATTATTGATTGGTCTAGCTAAAAAAAATTGTTTCTGAAACTTAAGTATGATTGGTCAAAGATGATGGCGCTCTTGTCCCTTAAGGAGTTCATTTATATAGGGATAACTTGGCCTAGCCTACTGCAGAAATTTGAATCCATTAAATATTGATCTTTTACCTGCTAAAGAAATCATTCAGTAATGCCCTGTTCCTTTTATGATTAGATTTTCCACCAGAATGTGGAAAGTTAAATATAATTCTGGAGAATTTCCTGTCTTCAAACAATGAATCAGAATGTAATTCTCTGGCATCAACTTCAAAATAAACTTTCACTCCTAGAAGAAGAAAAAAAATGAAATTTTACTTTTGCACCAAATATATATGTAATGTAAGCTTATACCTATCATAATGGCTTTGTCACCAGGCCTTGGCTTAAATTAACCTACATTTTTGTATTAAAATGCTACTGGAATCAAAAATAGGACTATACAGTCAAGTTACCTAATTTTGTGCAAACCTATTTTTCGTGCATTTCCCGAAATGATTATTAATTTACATGTGCGACCTCGCGTGACCTCCGCATTTGCTTGCTTGGTAAACATGGGTAATCTTCACACTGTCAGCTGGCAGAATGAATCCAGTAGTTTCAAGCAAGGTAAAATAATGTATACTTTGACATTAACAAATGTACAATTTTATAATCGGCTGAATTTCCTTATAATCCCAAGCTGTAATCGGAATTCAAAGTTGGCTACAAGCATGTAATCCAATGTAGGCTATCTAATTTTGTCAGTCAAATTTTTTTTTCTTAAATCATTTATCTTTGAAGGAATTGTCAGTATTTATAATGAAATACTATTGGAGATGAATACTAAAAAAAGTAAATTATACACTGGGTCTCCATACAACATGTTTTTCTAGACTTACCGGTATTTAGAGATTAAAAATTGTAAGGTAAACGAAAATAGGTGATGCATTTTGCTGCCGTTGTCGAGTTTGTTACTCATGAAATATGTGCCAAGTTGGGGGATTCATAATGAAAATCGAAACAAACCAATTTTAATTATTTCATAGAATATCTGAGGAATCCTGGCCTAATAAAATGAAGCCAGTCAAATCTTTACCACACCTAAAACTCAACCCTTTTTGTACTTTTCTATAAACCAATTCAAAGTGTGAGCAATGATTTACAAAAAAATTGACTTTTAATACATGTAATGTAATCAATATTTGAACTGGTAGCCTGATAAATTAAGCATGGCATTACCAGTGCATTACCTTTACTTTTCAGAAAGCGAATGTTGTCGACAGCAAGTTTATGTTTTAAGATGGTCTCTTCTGTTTCTAATGAAGTCGACACAAACTGGTCACAAGTGAGGTTTCTCCGTTCCGAAAACGACACAGATAAGGAGAAATCGCCATCGCCAACTACCAAAACAAACCCTTTCGTTTGTCTGTCCATGTTGTTTTTTATTCAACTTGCCGCTAACTTTCCACGCCTCCATTGAAGGAGAGTTAGTAATCCGAAACAACGTAATACAGTGGTCCATGGCATATTTTAGGACGACAAACATTTCGACAAGTTATGTGAATGTTTTCTACCATCAAATTTGCACTTGAATAAAAATTGATGTTTTGGGTAAAAAATGCAGGGTTTAGCCAATAGGGCCTAGCAAGGAGTTAAACAATCGGTTTTTTTTTAAATCAATATATGGCAGAACCCAAACAACAATTATGCAATTATGAGCTTGATTAAATTTGATAGGCCTATCCAAGAGAAGGATTGTCCGAAACTATCTGCATCCATTATTTCTGAGATTACACACATTTTATAGAACGATTCATTGTTTAACAGATCAAGTTCATTAAAAAGGGGGGTGGACATTTCGGCAACCCCTCGGGTCAATTTTAGTTTTTCCTCTAAATGGCTAAAGTCACATTGACGATATCAGATCAGATTATTATGACTCTATCATGTGATCAGTATCTCTTTTTAAAACGTGATTTAGCCGATTTATATTCGAGCAATTAAAGTAACAAGAAAATCTGATGGGGGTAATCGTCCAGAAATTGGACGATAAGAGAGTATATTTTATCAGTTGCAATTACAAACGCCATATGACAATCCCACTGTCAAGAGACACGACAATTTCTTAGATTATTTGACGCGATGGATCATCGGTGGTTAGGTTACTGAAAAAGTTTTCTGATCGTGTCACCCCAAAAAGTCTATGATGTTTCAATCTTCCTTCTGCTTGTTTCTTTGTTTTCTAGCCGTTTGTGATGGATTACGATTTCTACACATAGGCGAAGATGAGCTAATTAAGGGCGGTAAGTAGACTTGATTGGGCCATAACTAAAAATTGCAATGAAGTAGCCTATAAACAATTGCGAGACGGGAGTTTAAACCCTTTGCATTAAGTTGAAAGGTTCTAGATTATTTTTAACAGTAACACATCCCAAGTCATTTCCACAGTGAAGGGCGTTAAAAACTGTTATTCTGTTTACAAAAGTTTACATAGATACCTGCGATGGAAGGGTTATCTTCGAATTCTGCTGCATAGTGCTGGACAAAAAATATGGTTTCTTGTATAATTAAATGACAATTAGGCTTTCTTTTTTCAGGCCAATAGTTGTTAAAACAGAGGCCTGTAAGTGTTAGTAACTTTCGGACTATACTCATTTAAAGGAATAGGCTACAGTTAATTAAAAATAATTATTTGATTAGGGTTTTTGACTCACCTTGGCGGAAAGGACGTTAGCCGTAATTTCCAGGCCTAGGCCTAATCTTGGATCTAGATCCAGCATGAAGCTGAATTGTCTGTATTTGTTTGTGTTAACTTGTTACAAAATTGATTTACTTTCAGACAAGGTGTATATAGTCCACAATGTTAACCAGAATCAACTGTTGAGACATAAGAGAGATTTACCAGGAATGCCACACGAATTAAGTTTCAACTTTGTTTATGATGATAAACACATTCATTTTAATCTGACACGGGGCAAGCAGCATCTAACTACTCCTGTATATGTAATGAATGATGGTATACCAACTCCTACCAAGTCACTATCCACCGAGCTAGTTTTCAATCAGGTTGGTATTTAAGGCGTTTGGAACATAAAACAACTCTAAATCGAAATTTCTAAGGAAAAATCTGGTATGAAGAATACGTTGCCCTAAATTGGCCCACAGCTTTGACAGATAAAAGAGTGGACATTTTTTTTATTGGGAGCGACAATAACCATTGTGAACACGAAATAGGCTACAGTTCAATTGCTTATTACTTTGTGAAAAATAAACAATTCAATATTCCATATGATTTCCCAATTTCCTCAATTTTCCACACTAGGACATATTCCATAATATACAACCTGTAAATTCGATTAATTTAATTACTTTATATCTTTAGAACTCTGGGGTGTATCGAAGCGACAATAATGATGGTGTGTTTATGATTCAGAAAGCAGATAACGATCTCAACAATTATATCTTGGTGAGTTCGAAAAATGTTTTGACTAAACCCTATAAGATTACTGAGTTCAAATAAATGTAGATCCATACAAAACCAATATGTCTGTGGTATTGTATACTTGATATGTCTGTGTCTGTGATATGATATACATGACATGGCTGTATCTGTGGTATTATATACATGACATGGCTGTATCTGTGGTATTATATACATGACATGGCTGTATCTGTGGTATTATATACATGACATGGCTGTATCTGTGGTATTATATACATGACATGGCTGTATCTGTGGTATTGTATACTTGATATGGCTATGTCTGTGGTATTATATGCTTGATATGGCTATGTCTGTGGTATTGTATACTTAATATGGCTGTGTCTGTGGTATTTTATACTTGGTATGGCTGTGTCTGTGGTATCGTATACTTAACGTGGATGTGTCTGTGGTATTGTATACTTGACGTGGCTGTGTCTGTGGTATTGCATACTTGGTGTACCCATGGTTTAAGTCGCAGTCTTTTTTTTCGAAATGTTTTTCCACATTCCTTAGAATTAGGACTCCTTCTTTTTCCAGGGTGGAACATTTGTCATCGGTAACAAGGAGTTTACTCTTAAGCCGGGAAAACATGAAGACGAACATAAGGGCGTCCATTATATCCAAGATCATAGTTTGATGAAACGTAGTGCTGCTACTGTAGCAAGAGATCGTGTTGCTATTAATTATGGACATGATTGGAAAGATTTAGAAATCAGCAATACTGGTAGGTCTCTGTGATTCAATTTACCATTGAGACACTTGATTAAATTGACAAATGCGCCATTTTTTTATCAATTGTACCTTAGTATCAGAAACGTTTTTTTAGCTAAGGCAATCAGTAATAGTGTTCACAGCTCACCGTATTCCTTTCAATGAACACCGTCAGGATGTGAGTTTCTAAAGATGTGGTTTATTGTGTAATGTTTTGCAGAAAATCAGAGGAAGACCCAGGAACCAATAGAAAACAGTCATGGACACGCCCATCATCACCGCCGAAAACGTCAGGTTGCATCGCACACAGTCGAAATATTCTTTCTTGTGGACTATTTTGATTATCAGAAGTATGTTTGAAAGAAATTTATGAATCCTAGCTTAGTTCATTAAGCAGTATAAGTCTATTTTTATATACTATATTAAACTCCAAAATGGATGCCGAATTAACAAACCAGGTAGTAAAATAGCCAGGGGTTCCTAGATTCCTATTCTATATCTATCTGAATTATCCATCAACACCTTCCACCTATGTGGCTGCTTTATTTGATATAATAATGATTTCATATTCTTGAAACGTCACCGCGAGTATCTACGTCTAAACGTAACCTCCACCAAAGGGGCTTTAATATTTAGCCTCCTTGCCTCCACTTTAGCAAACTCTTGGTACTTTGACAAATTCCTGTAACAGAAACTAGGTCTGTTCTATTAGTAGGCCTATTTCTTTCATAATAACTTTTTTAATGACTTTCAGATTCTACATCTACAACAACAATGATTCAACAGCAGCCCAGAATGATGTCATTCTTTATTATGCTTTTATTGAGGAATGTGTGAGTAGTGTAATATTTTAACCAACTTTTGTAAAACAACGGTACTGCTGTTCCCCAAGATATAGTCATTACAAACCGGAAGTACCATTGACGGGAATTTTGAAATGTCATGTCGTTACTGACCAATACAATAGCCGTTTTCCTTGTTCAAGGCTACTCTGTACTACAAATGTCGCCTCTTGTGCACGTATTCATTGTTTCAGATCATCTCCAACAGAGAGATCCCTATATTAACGATGGTTCCAGTCAATAAAATCTTCAAATTCAAATCCCATGTGTATATTTTTGTAGATGAACGTGAAATATGGTACAATACCAGAAGTAGACGCAAGCTTATCTGTACAAATTAAAAGTTCTGGCATGTTTATTGCTACCGTAAGTATATATGCACACAGTCTATCGCTGACTATTCTGTCGATGCAATATAACGTAATAATTCCAATCAGTAGCCTATTATAACTCAAAGAGATTTTGATGGTCGCCTGTTGACCATTTAGGTTAGAAAACCAGTAAGAACAAATATACCCGAACCATTCCAGTGCCGTGTACCCAAACTGGATTCAATATTTCAGAATTCTTCTTGTTTATAATGAGGCGAAGAGTACTTATGGGTGAGCTGACATTAAAGGGACAGATGCGACATTTTTTTTTTGACCAATCGTACTTCACTCTCAGAAACAGAAATTTTTTTTTTAGCTAAGGCAATCAGTAATAGTGTTATAAATTTATTTCAGCAATTTGATTATCAAAAATGGATTAATGGTAATGTTAACGGTGGACAGATAGATAAAGATAAGGCTATAGTAGCATTAAGAGATTATGTTGGTGAAAATGCGGATTACCTACCAGTATCTGATCATATGATGGCTTTTACTGGAGGCGATCTAGATAATGCTGCAGGTTTGTCAACTTAATTCAATTCAAATCCAAAGGCATCTTTAACCCTAACGAATTGAATGGTAGAAAAGGAAAATAATAAATAATATTTAAAGAACACTAAACAGTCCTTGATGAAAGAAGCATCTTGGAAAAGTTCTTTCTTACGTTATTTGCTTGACTTTCAGATCTCATGAATACAAACATATTTTGTTACAGGATATGCCTATATCGGATCAGTATGTTCAACTTCTGCAGTGTCACTGGTAGAAAATAGCTTTGATGGATTTTCCTGTGGTGTTGCCGCTCATGAGCTTGGTCATTCGTAAGCATTTTCTCGCTTTACCTCTATCTTTTGATCTTGAAAACTACATCTTATAGCTGTGAAATAGTGACATTTATTTTTTAAACATTGATATCTTCAAGAAGCAATATCAACAACAAAGTAGCTTACTTACTGATTCAAAACATTCCTTTTCGAACTTGAGGTGAAATTTTCCTCAGGATTCCAAAAAGACGAGGAAAAGTAAGATGTAAATATGTAAAATTCAATTCCATTTCCTTCAGATTAAACTGTGTACATGATGGTCTTACTGGTACTGGTTGTAGTGATGATACAAACAATATAATGGCCACCATCTTAAATTTTCCAACTGGTGTCTCAGATGCTCCCAATCCTTGGAAATTTTCAACTTGTTCTGTTGCAGCTATAAAGAAACAGTTACAAGAGTAAGATAAAAGATTCATTTTAGATTGACGTTGATATTTCCCAATGGAAAGTATTGTTATTTTGACAAACACAGTCGAATTGACTGAAATCGGTGCTCTAGAAGGACAAGCATGTTACTAGAGACGTCCGCTACAAAAATATTGGGGGCAGAGGGGTATCGAATTAAGTGTTCAAGATTTGAACTCAAAATCTCCAAGCCGATAAGTTATTAACATTTTGGGAAGTGTTCTTTTTTACCAATCTGTTGCCATGAGGCTGAACTGGAACTGGGTGTGAATGTGCAATATCACACTATTCCATAAACTATATTATGTTCATTCCTCGTGCTTCGAGCACGGAAATGTAGTCTACATCTCTGCTGCGGTCTCCAGCAACTTACAGATATTCTTTTTAATCGTACATTACTAAGAACTCATCTATTTGTAGTGACAATATTTACCCAACAGAAGCTAGTTACATTAAGAAAAACAGGCCAAAGAATTTTCTGAAGACCAAATTTACCGACCCAACGTTCTCACGCTGAAACTGCACGACAAGCCAGTTTTGAGTTTTATTTACTTTAAAAATGCAGCTTACATGCACTGGCCTTTTATTTTTTTCAGTGTCACTTGTACCAATCCGGAAAACACATCAGGTCCTAGAGCCTTGTCAACTAACAGCTTACATTCTGGACAAGTCTATGATGCTGACGAACAATGTAAAAGAATATCTAATGACAGCACTGTGAGGTTTTGTCGTGTAAGTTTATGAATTTTATCAAATTTCGAATTGATTACGATTCAAATTAATGGCAAGGACTAAAATAATTAGGACTCGAGTTTCGAAACGAACTTCTCAATTAAGCTAGTAAGACATGAGATGAACACTCCCACATCACCCCTAATACTGTTTATTTATCCTATTATTGACTAAGTTTGCTGCAATTCACATAATATGTACCTGCAATATACGACTGTTGGGTATGTCTATTGATTAATAAATAAATGTATTAAAAATAATTTAATGTTTTATTTTAGAACTTCTATTTCTCCAATCCATCTTTCGGTGATATGTGTTGGGCAATGTTTTGTGGAAAAGCAGGTGCATCGTGTACGTATAACATTGCTTATGAGGGGACCAGCTGTGGAGATAGAAAGGTGCGTATTTTTTTTTTAACAAAATGAACCTAACCCACTATCTTCTTTTTAATTGTCCGCACAAAACCCTATAGTTTCATTTAATTGGATTGAACTGTAGTCTCGTTCGGCCTATACATCTGGTCTCATAAATATTTGCAAGATCATCCCCAATAATGAAAATTAAGTGTTGCCATCTTGCCAGTATAATTGCTGATGCGATTATGTAACTTGCAATAACCTATATTTGATATGGTTTTTATTATTGTTATAGTGGTGTGAAAAAGGTCTTTGTGTTGAAAATAGTAAGGCTCCAAGTCGATTTGGTAAGCACATTATGTACTTCTATTCTTCTATACTTCTTAGCCAATTTAACAAAAAAAAGTTGTTATGATTCAAGTCTGGGGACACTGTTCAGGAAACAAGGTTGTGGATGACATTGTTCAAATCATCTTTAATATAACTCCTTTGAGTTCATGTTTGTGTATATTTTCATTCCTTTTCAGCGTTCTGTCCACAAGGCGATGATCCTACAGCTGGATGTGATGCATCACAATGCGAATCATACAGTGTGACGAAACGATACTTGACTTGTTGTACTTCTTGCAGCAGCGAGACGAGTCAAACAACTGTCCCTCCGACATTACAACAAAACAACGAAACAACTTCACCAACAACAAGCCCAACAACCTCACCGACAACCAGTCCAATTACCTCACCAACAACCAGTCCGATAACCTCACCAGTAACCAGCCCAAAAACCTCACCGGTAATCAGTCCAGTAACGTCACCGACAACCAGTCCAACAACCTCGCCGATAACCAGTCCAATTACCTCACCAACAACCAGTCCGATTACCTCTCCAGAAACAAGTCCGATAACCTCTCCAGTAACCAGTCCAGTAACGTCACCAGTAACCAGTCCGTCAACCTCACCAACAACCAGTCCAATAACCTCACCAACAACCAGTCCAATAACCTCACCAACAAACAGTCCCATAACCTCACCAGCAACCAGCCCCACAACCTCACCAGTAACCAGCCCAATAACCTCACCAGTAACCAGTCCCATAACCTCACCAGCAACCAGTCCTACAACCTCACCATCAACCAGTCCAACGAACTCACCAACTACTATTGCAATAAACCCAAGAGCAACTAGTCCTTTAACCTCACCAAGAACCGGTCCAACAACCTCACTAAAAACAAGTCCAACTGCTTCACCAACCACAAATCCGACTACTTCCCAGACTACAAGTCCAAGTACTTCGCCAACTATAAGTCCAGAAACCTCACCAACTCCCAGTCCTGCAACCTCACCAACACCTAGTCCAACCGCGTCACCAACAACCAGCCAAGCAACCTCACCAGTAACTTCACAAACTCCAAGTCCAACCGCTTCACTATCAACCAGCCCAACAGCCTCACCGATTACGTCACCAACTCCAAGCCCAACCGCTTCACCAACAACCAGCCCAACTATTTCACCAACATCTAGCCCAATAACGTCACCGACACCCAACCCAACCGCTTCACCAACTCCTAGTCCAACAAATAATCCAATTGCGTCACAGCCACCTTCATTGAATACGAATAAAGGAACGATTCGTTACATTGAGTCGATTTGTAGAGTGTAAAATATACAAAACGGCAGTACAGTAAGGTGGAATATTTGAAAAAAAAAGGCACACGTGGTTTGATAATTATGTAATATATCATTTTATTAATTTATTAAATTATCTATTATAGATATTTTCGATATAAATGAGCATCTAAACTCTAAATTCACTGAGAAATATGTGAATGAGTTGAAAAACTGGATATTGGTAAGTTGGGTGCCATAGGAAACCCACTAGTCCAAGGGCTCAGAGGTACTCAGGCCCAGTTGATTTCTGTCAAACGCAGGACACTGGCTGTATTATATTGCTTGGTGTAGCCCACGTTTCGATAGAGTGACCAAAGGATCTATTAAATGAAAGCAGCCTCAATTAACAGTAACTGCTCTGTGCGGGCAGCAGGGGAGATCAGTAGCCAATGGATTTCAGATCGCCTGGGATGAATTCTGAGCATTTAGAGGGTTTAATTTTCACTTCAAAATAAGACCTTTCATAGGCCTGAGGGGAGTGACCCGATGATCCACCTCCTAAATACGCCATTGGCGATTTTACATACGAAAAGAGCAAATATTGATAACTTCGTTTCAGGATGATGAACTGTAAATGATTCACGTGATGAAAGAGCCTACCCATTTTCAGATACAGCTTCAGTGAAACATACCGTCGTCTCACAGATAACTTGATACAAACCTTCTAGATATGTAAACAGGCAATATAACTCTATCATACAGTTGGTATAACTAACCTTATTACTCATCATTTCACTATTTATTTCACTATTTATAACCTGTCTATATTATCCAGACTGTATGTTATGGTGTTAGGAATCAACCAGTACAGTATTTAGTTTAGATGACTGTAAGGTTCAATAATAGTTCCAATTTACAAGGATTGATGACAATCCTTTATAAGGATTCCTACAGATTTCTTTAACTGAAAATCCTCCATAAATGCGAATTAACCGAATATGTAGACCAGAATGACGGAAATTACTATGCAGAAAGTAGTAACCCGCCAAAGACGACTCGTGGTCTTTTCTTCAGTAGTATTTGTAAAATTTACGCGTTTGGTGCGCCCGACATTAAACACACCCCCCCCCCCCCCCCCATACCAACACCCCTTCGGTCCGTCCGCCTATGGCTGTCGTCACTTCCTACCTAAGGCATTTCTCCAATTACAGTTGAACCGGGTGTCAGATTTTCATTCTGAAAAATTATACTGACAGCTTTATTTGAACTCTACCAGGTGACCAGGTTAGCCAATATTTAAGTACGATTCGTATCATGACGCAAAATATAACATTGAACATTGAAACTTAATCGTTTGAAGATACGACTCATATGTAATGAAAAAAACGTACATATTCTGAACACTAAAATTAAACCTAGTACAGGTAGCAGTTCACTAGTAAAAATGAGATAAAACCCACGAATTCAATTAGTTTTGAAACCATAGTTAAATTATACGCTGTGAATCATTTTGTATGTTACTCCAAGCTTTCACTAGGTATCTCTCATCTGACTCGTGTTACCCCACTACCTTGTTATATGCCTATCATGTCTATAAAAGGTAGCACCGTTTTCACCCCGACTGCCGCGTGCAGAATCGTTTTCGAACGTTTATATTCCGTGTACTGTCTTCATTGCACCTTTGCTTGGAACCAACCGTTGATTTTGTGAGTATCTTTTCATTTTGTTGTATTAGAAATGATTCTTCTATTTACATTTTGTGTATTTCTCACATTTGACATTATGTTAAGTTCCCCGTGGTACTGGTATCTTTTTTTTATCAATTTTATTATTTTTTATATGCATTATTAATTCTCAACAGCTATCAAATAAATTCGCTCGAACATCACAAACGCGTTTGATTTTTTAATCTTAATCAGTAGCCTAGTCCTAACTACAAATGTAAATGTTCATTAATTATTCCAAAAATAATAAAACTATTGTTTGTAAATTTATATTCAAATTGAATACAACTTTTTAGAATTTGATTTAAGTATTAGACAAAAAATCGTTTATTTCAAGATTTTGGAAAAATAGAGTAAAAAAAATTTGTTGAATATAAGTCAAATTTTTGGCAATAACAGACTTACAGCATTCATATTTAATATTTGTAACAAATTAATCTAATTTGTACAATAACAACGTTACGAAAATGAAACGCCAATTCCATGTCAAAACTGAATTTGCAGAAAACGACGTTGTTGTTCTGCTGACTTTGAAATTCCATCATTCTGTAGACTTGCCAAATATTCTAGAACATAGTATGAGTCAACAAACCGACAAAAATAGATTCCAAATTCTTAGATATTGTCAGAGTTCTGGCAGTTTCTAGTGCCATCTTCATTTAAGATAAAAACATAAAGTAACTTGTCCAGTCGAACATAATTATCCTAAACATCAGTCAGTAAGTAAAATGTATTTTTTCTGATAAATTGTTAGTTTTATGCAAATCTTTGTTTTTTAGGTTAAAAGTATAGTTCTTCTTAGGATGACAAAACAATTGAATTTTTTTAACATGTTCAAAATGAATTTTTTGTTCATCAGTGGACTTACCTGGTGTCAAAACTATACAACAGAATCTGACATACCTGGTGTAAAAAATATACAACAGAATACCTCTATAATTCATAAAAATAATTAAAACCCCATTAAACTAAGGAATTTTGAAATACACTCAGAAACGTTTTTCAATAATTACTTAGTTAATTGCATTTATCGTTTTATAGAGAGATTATATTCTTTAGACATGGCACCTGGTAAGTACAACTGATGAATATATACTCTTACTTACCAAGTTTGAGACTTTAAATTTTTAGTTCATAATAATATAATAATCTATTATAGGGTTCCAGTCCGGCCCATGACAAACACTTTTGCTCTTGATAATATGAAAATGTTCATAAAAACAGATAACTCAGAATTTTTGGCTTCTGAGGAATAAAAGCTCAAAATAAGGGCCCCTAAGGTTTTAAGTCTATATTTGAAATTTACTATTTATTTCCCATTTATACTCAATCTTAATTCGTATTTCAAGAGAATAGGGTATCGGATTTCGAGAAGTATCTCTGAGGAACCTAAAGTTTTAAATTTTAAGTTTAAAAAGAGGCAACTTCATCAGAATTCTCAGAATTAACTGAGAGGATTGGATTCAAAATTAGAACATCATTGCATTGATTTTTTGAAAAATGTCTGGATCCTAAGCATAGATTTCCAAAAAGGGTTCCTAATTTATTGAGAATACACCTCATGACCTAATCAGTTTTGTTCTTCTATTGAGATCGTTTCCGCCGTTTAAAATATATAAGTCAAACTAACTTTTCACGAGAAAGTTTATTAGATGGAATGTTCCTAATTAAACTTAACTAAAACTTTTCAGGTTAAAAATCTTAGCTCAGCAAATACCAGTCTATAGAATCTTGTATTTTTAGCCAGTGTTTTGAAATTTGAGAATGCTGCAATCTAAAAATAACTTGCTTCCAATTTTGACGCGTGCCGAAGTTGCTGATTAGCTGTACCGTTTATAATTTTCGGGATAACACAGAGAATCTTTGTCATATTTCACCATCAAACAGACCGTATTGCATTTACCGAAATATTACATCATCTATCAAACATATTGACTCATTTTAAAAGATTTATTTATTGACGTTGACTCATTTTTAAAGATTTCTTTATCGGTTTATATCCACACTATATGTTTTCTAGCTTTAAAATGTTAATTCTAGACAGCCTGGAAGCTTATATTTACCATTTATTTGCCAACTTACATCTGGGTTCATGTCGTTCCAAATAATGTTTGTGATTGTGAAGACCTAATCTGGTCGAGATTCTGTGCAATTATCGGAACCACAGACGTCGGTCGGAAAATCAGTCATCATTTATACTTCCTCCCTCAACCAAATTTCTTTTTACAGAGTGTACCAAGAGCATTCCAGTTGTCAGTCAACATGAGCAGAGCATCAAAAAGCGGTCTTGCAGCTGACATCGAAAGAAAATTAGAAAACGTAAGTACATCTATAGGTAGTTTCTTCAGGGCGCCCCAGCATCACAACCCTGGAGGATCGACTATCGCGATTAAAAAAATCTTTAAATAAGTATTATGGTAACTGTAGCATACCTTGGATAATATCATACTCAACAATGAATCAAGCAAGAGAATGACACATAACATAAATACATAATCATGAAAGGCGAAATATTTATCAGGAGGTGATAGGTTACATCTGGAAACCATCTGAGACGTGTTATCACTTACATAATACACCTCGTTATAAGTTCTGTATTATCAATTACTGACACCCTTACATTGCATCTAAGGATTAATCAACTCACCTACTTGTATTCCATATTGGAATATAACAATAGTGTATATCAAAAGTGAAGAATTATCACAAACAGCTGGTAGCATTTTCAAGATGCTGCTCAATCGCTTGAAGTATGCTCACCGACTGTTCTTGAAAAAATTGTGGCAAGTATCTGAAGATAGATATCCAGTATATAGAATCTCATATTTTTCAGTTGTAATCTTGTGCTTTCAGCAATACGATGCTGCTGATAAAGTTGGTACCCCTGCTGCTGTTATGACATGGATTCAAGCCGTAGTTGGAGATGAGCACCCAGGATGTGTAAGTATCTATATACCCATGTATATAAATATAATGTGTATCGTATCACTTTTCAGAATGGAAATCTTGAAGTCCTGTTTACAGACAAACCGCTCCGAAAATGGCGATACAAGCATATCGCTTTAAGTCTAATTTCCTACGTTACTCATTGTAATGAAAACGCGACTTTGAGTGTGTCTACAATAAGCTAAAAAAAGAAATGATTCTTCTAATAATAATTTGTGCACAAATACCCTTATTTTCCAAACATGAATATAGATATTCCCTTCCTTTTTATCCACAATTCTACGAATGGAATGAGGCAAATCTAACCTTAGTTCAAACCTTCTCTTCTTTAGAGTGGAACTGATTGGAAATCCATTAGTGGCCATTTGAGAGACGGTGTTATGTTGTGCAAGTGAGTACCCACCCTTTACCAACTAGTATATCCCGTTATTCCTTGTTATAAACGTCTTCCGCCTTTGATAAAAAGTCCAAACCTTAACCAAACCATCAGTCAGATAAACAAGTCTGTAGCCTTTAAACTATAATACTTCTTGATTTGAGTTTAAAACTAGAAACATTAACACCAGACACTGGATTGGTATCTTGAGCGGATCGAATCCCTTATTTTATACGTATCGGTAGTATTATCTTGGCATGAAATTTAGACTTCTTGTCCCGTTAACGTTTTATGTTTACAATATAGAATCATTCTTTATCCATACCCTGTACTCTTCAGAATGTCCAGTGACAGAATCTTACTTAGTTCCAACAGGTTTGATCACACACCCCTAATACTCTTTGGATTTCGGATAATGTTCAGAAGCGCAGCGCTATAAACTACTTTGTGAAGAAGATTGAAAAGGTGCATTTGTTGATTGCTTGATATTTCAGATTCATCAACAAATTATTAAAGAGTGAAGGCAAAGCTCCAGTCAGTTTCCAGAAGAAATGTGCATCTCCATTTGTTTTCATGACAAACGTTGAAAACTTCAACAAAGGGGCTGAAACTTATGGTTTAAAAAAGGAAGATTGCTTTCAAACAACTGATTTAACAGAACCACGCAAAGGTCCCTTCCTTAACGTTGTCAACTCACTCCACAGTTTGGGTAGCTATGTAAGTATCTTTTCTTTTTTTTTGCCCTTACTTTGTTGAGCAATTTGCATGTAACTGAAATCAGTAACAATGAAAAATTTCCAATTAGAATTATTTCCGAGGAAACTCAAGATTGCATTTCCAACTGTAGATTTCACACTAACAGTAGAAATTTAGAATGATTCAGATGAACTTCATTTTGCTACAGAATGATATTAAATTTTTAGAAGAATATTTAGTCTTATAAAGGAAAACTATAATGCACAAGAAATTACCTAGTACCTTCCAAACCCCAGTACCACAAAATGACCAATCCACCAAAAATTTATATAGATACATAATTTTTCAATCTTTCTAGTAGGCCGTTAAATCTTGCCCTATCCGTTCGTCGAAAATGATAATCGGATGTGATATAGTCACGTAAGTGCCTGACTCAAAAGGTCAAATTTCATGGGAGTTGCTCCAGACCATTTTTGAATCACTAGTTTTTGAGAAGTTTCACTATGACAAAAGCAAATTGCGGTAAAATGTTTGGTAGGTCTATCGATACAAAGCTGAGCCATTAATTCTGCAATGTTCCTGTGCTCCACACGGTACTGCAATGATGTCGAGGGATAGGCTTTAGTTTTAAAAACTATCGATCCTAAAATGGACCGGAGCAACTCCCATAAAACGTGACCTTAAGAGTCTGGCTCTAACTGTAACAATATCACATCTGTATATCACGTCTGAGGAACCGCTAAAATCCAGATTTTTCGGGCTATGTTTCTGGTAGCAACAATAAAAAAACATACAACTTTTGTTTCTAACAAATGGAATCAAAGAATTGTTTCCTACAAACTGTGGCTTACACTTAACATTCTTATTTGGTAGTGTCACTGAATGCAACCAAACTAACTTTACAAGTATCTCTGTAAATTTTGTTTTAGTTTTATTTTTAATTTTTGTTCTACAGGCCAACTCCAAGGGTTTCAAACCAACCTATGCTGGAGTTCAAGCTCCTACTCTTGAAATGTAATCCCTGTCCAATTGCATGATTAGGTAAAGTGATCATGATGAAAGTATTAAGCTATCATGGCAGCTCTATGTTATCAATGCTTTATCTCTATATATTGCTATACATTATTTTCAATGTTGTATGATCATTTTCTGTACAGTATATAAGCACATCAAATCATGTCTAAATCTCTACAAACATATCTTTAACAAATTTCAAAAATATTTTAATAATTATTAACAAATAAATGACTTTATTTAACAATATTGTGCAATATTCAACAATACGTCAATGAATAATAGTAGTTTTTAAACTACTAAGACAACTGATTGGTTACAACATGTGATTTATATTATTACAGTTTTTTTTAAATAACTTTATATTCATAATAATAGCCTACTATTATTTGTAAATTTTGTCATATTGATTTCAGCTTTAATGATCATGACTTGAAAATCCTTTGTATTTTACAGTTATTTAAGTTTATGACGAAATTTCAATAACATAATGAAATAATGTTCAAATTTCAATAACATAATGAAATAATGTTCAAATTTCAATAACATAATGAAATAATGTTCGTATATACTGTATACGAAATTTAGAATGACATTCTTTCAGACAAATTTTTATGACCACATTTTGAAGTTTTTTATCTTGGAAAGATCTAACAACTAATCCGCTGCTTGTTTTTCTTTCTGCTGCATCGAATGCTTGAGTGATTTCACCGTAATTTTCATCATAGAACCCTTACATTTCAATGCATATAAATTATTAATTAATTTTGGACTTCATAAAAACAAATCAACCAAGAAATTGATCTTTATTTCAGAATTTGTAACATTGATCGATATACCGATATATTCCAATCTCGGAAAAAATTGCCGTTCTTTGAAAAAAAAAATAGGCTATGCATAATGAAGTTAAGCTGAATAACACCAAAAAGAAATCATAATTTATCATTTAACAAATCTCTCATCAAAAACAAAATATATCTTTCATCAATTCAAAAACTGATCTTTACTTTCATTGCTACTACCACACAACCTATATATACCCCTGTTTTCAATAAGAGGACTGTTTTGGCAATGTTTTCTTACTTTCACTTTTGTAGTAAAGTAAATAATATACCTTTATTATAAGCTTCTGTCAAAGAGTATGATTTTGGAACTTTCTTCATTTTACAGTTGAGCATTTTGCTTTTATTTGTATGAACAGCTCTCTTGTAATTTTCAAAGGTATTAGCGGTTTTACTGCAAAATTATATATTAATTTTAGTTTGAATTTTTCTTATTTAAATTTCAGGCTAACAGCAAAGGTTACGAAGTTACATATCTTGGCGTTGAACAGCCTACATTGGACAGAGAATAGATCACATTTTCTACCTTTTTTTTTTTATTATTTATATATATATAGTTCAGAAACAGCTCAATACCAGTACCCTTATACACATAATACATTATTTTGGAGGTCATTTTAAAGCAAAAACACTATTTAATACAGCAATGGGCAATTTTACTGCAGTGGTGAGCCTTTTGATAATGTCTCTTCAAGACCATTATCAAATGAATTCAACAACATACCAAAATGCAATAGCATTGATCAGGTTTTATACGTTTTCAAAAAGATCAAAGAACCATAAGCAATAGTTCTAGCCCTTAGCAATTTCTAGAATTATTATCCTTGTTTATACATCTGTCCTTTTAGACACAAACTATCCTTCCAAATTTATTACCTGAATGTATTATCTGCTTTGGTTATTTTTTTATTTCATGTAATTTTTTTTATTTATTTCATGTGCCAAAGAGTAATTTTTATATTAATTAATGCTATAAATGTATATTGGAAGTCAATAATGATCATAACCCGAAACAATCTGCACTGGTATTTTACATCATAATGTACTCTTTCTTTTCTATGATTAAATGTTAAGAAAATTCAGTTGTTATTCAAAAAGGAGAAGGGATGATGTGGGATATTGAACAAATATCATATATATATACAAATACTTGACATGACATCATTAGCCACTTTTCTTGTACAACAGAGTGTAGTGATGAAAATAGATCATATGCTAACAAATACAGCCAATCAGAGTCCTCAACAAACAGACTGTAAATTATTATGGTTTTGTGTTGGCTGTATTTGCTAATGTAAATCACTGCATTTTCAATCTTCAAATCAAAGACAAGTGCAGTATGCCCCAATTAACAGGATTTATTTGGAAATATATATATCATAGTTATAACAAAGAGATGGAAATGGTGAAAACTAAGATTGTTTAACTTATAAACAAGCAAAGTCCATAAAACAAGGATTATTTATTTGGAATAAGCAAATCTTACTTCAGAATATTCAACATCTGACTTGTCTAAAATTTAATTAAACTTCACCATAAAGGATCATATGCTCTGTTATTACCTTTGCCTTGTACATTTTCAATTAATTGTAGACTAACCAAACATTGGATATTCCTTATGAAAAGTCAATTAGTTATCTGAAATGAGCTCAATCAGTTCTTGCTGAATATTTAACTGCAAAGCTGAATCTTCACATACACTAATCACATGACCAAGGCTAATGTATCACATGACCAAAGCTTAAGGCGATCTTATTTAAGCAAATCATATCAACTCGCTTTGTTTTTCTACTTCTTGTCAATGTTTCCCGCCATATTGAATCTCGAACAAATCATAATCAAAGCGTTGAAGTCAAGATTCAGTTGAATTGGATAAGGGCTACAATAAATGAGTGTTGTAGGCGCTTTGCTTATATAAATGCACACTTTGATCTGTGTTAATAAGATATGCTTAAACAAAACGCCTTTATTTATTCCATGACCAAACCAATAAATCACATGACCAAAGCAAATTCATCACATGACCAAAGCTAATTCATCACATGACCAAAGCTAATTCATCACATGACCATGTCCCTGACAGCCATCATCACCTTTTTCATGTACCAAAACCAACCAACTATCTGTGTCTTAATGAAACATTTTATTGAAATGACGTGTGATGAATTACTGATAAAAATGCGTAGTTGAAACAGGTCAAGATTTTGTTACGTGATGAGATTCAGATCTGTTGTAAGCTTTTCCACTTTTAAATGCCTTGATTATTTTCAGTAATCTGTCTTTTTTGTGATGTTTAGCAGTTTCTTCTAGTATGTGCACAGAATCATGGTGTTCAAAATCTCTTAAAGTATATAACATTTTATAAATTCGTTCTCGACTGCAGAAGTCATCTAAATAATGTAAAGTTGATTCGAAAAATGTTTTTTTTTCACTGTTTTCATTTTTATCTTTATCTTCATTCTGTGTTTCCTGAAGAACAAAAAAGTAAAAGTTATTGCGGCTTCTGACAAGATTATTTATTGGTTCTAGGTGACACAAATTCCACAAAAGTGGACACAAATATCAGATGCTTAAGACACATATATTTTTATAACTCATTAAAATGAAAAAAAAGATTTTTTAATTCGTATTTCCATATTACCCTACAAATTTAAGGTATGCCATTAGGTATGCCATACTTTTGAAAGTCCCTACTCATAAATTTGTAAATCCTTTAATTAATCTCCCTTCATGTCTACATCATTGACAATGTCCACTTTTGAAAGTATCCTTATGCATTTTTAATTCGATAGGTTCATGTTGAATTTCTACTTGTAATTTTAAAATTCAAAAAAATCAGTAAAAGACAGGCTGGCTTACTTGAGAATGGTCTACTTTCAAGCTTATCACTAAATCATATAAGAAACTTTGTAACACTGAATATAACACTTTCAGTTTCCTGAGCTCTTCTAAAGCTTCCTGAGAGTCAGTAGTGACACAATTGTTGTCTGTAGTCTGTAACTCTTCATCGGGAGTTACCTCCCTTCCATAATCTTCTGCCTTTTCAATAGTTGTGTCTGATTCAGAGTGTTTAGGTAAAGATCTTTTAACTAATGGGTATAAAGGGTCCAGAATTTTCAATAAACAGCGAATAAGATCAGCACCTAAAAAGAAGTCAGGAAAGTTTAATTAGAAATATATCATTCATTACAATCGAGCAGTCCCGTCATTAGTGTGGGGTCTGTGGGGGCTGCCCCCCAGCAAGTCAGAATTAAGATCCAGCAAAACTTTGTAAAAAGATATAGATTTTGATACATTTTTGGCATCTCAAAATTTTCAGAAATGGGTTTTTAATGAGCCTCTTCAAATTTTCTGTGTGCAAAATCCTGGTGACAGGACTGCAATTGAGTTCGTTTGATGTAATAGCCGTTCTGTTGAAGTCTGTGAAAAAAATATAGGTAATCGGAGGCCTTAAATTTCAAGATTTACTAAGGTTTACTTGTATGGTGGTATAGTTTGTATAAAATAACTTAATATCACTTACAAAACTTCAATCTACAAGCATTTAATGTAAATATTAAGAAACAATTTATTTTTATGTATAGCAAGAAATTTATTTGGCTGTCTATCCTATTAGTCAGTTCAAAAGTTTATAAGCTATAAATTAAATATAATGGAAAAGTACTTTTATCTATCAGTTATTTAGGCCAGTATTACTTTTTACCATGTGACTAAGTTCAAATTTATCAATTCACGTTTTTAGAGCTGATCTAGTTACAATATTAAATCTTATCTAAGAATGTAAATATTTTTTACATAAGTTGAGATTTTGAAATTAAAAAAAACATTTGAACAGGATTTTAGCTAATGATGACAGTCAATGTCAAAATCTTCTCTTTACTTGTCATATGTCAGAAGATCTTCCACAGACGGCCTAATTTTATTTCTTATCTAAATAATTTAATGCAGTTTCCCTTTTAGCACCAGTCTGTTTAACTGTTCTAGGATTGTAGCTCGATTCCAGAGAATAACTCATCTTGACAGGAAAACTAAATATTGGATGCCTGAGATGCCTCTAAATATATTAAACAGTCATGCTCACTAATGATGATTAATACAAAGCTCTAGATATTGCGAGAAAATAAAAGCTTATCAACACCTTGCTTGAATCTCAAATATACTATATACTTACTTGATAATAATTGTTGTGATGTGTTGTATGAAGAAGAGAATAAAACTGCTAAAACAGAAATATCTGATGCTAAACAACTCTCATGTCCATCTAACCCGACTATTTCATCTTCACAAATAACATGTAAATATTTTAATAATGGTTCAAGTAGATTATCTGTACAACTCACTGTAAAAACACATGTAAATATTGTTAAACTTCAGTGTAAATTAGCAGGTAAATATTGTTACACTTCAGTGTAAAATAACATGTAAATATTGTTATACTTCAGAGTAAAATAACACGTAAATATTGTTACACTTCACTGTAAAATAACACGTAAATATTGATACACTTCACTGTAAAATAACATGTAAATATGTTACATTTCACTGTAAAATAACATGTAAATATTGTTACACTTCACTGTAAATAACATGTAAATATTACTTCTTTGCAAAAAACATATGTAACAACTGTTATACCCCACTTAATTAATAGTTACAACTCACTGTAAACTAACACTTACCCCTACAGAAAGTACTTACCCAAAGCCTCTACACCTGATTCATTTGTTGATAATAATTGAAATATATGAAGATATGCCTCTAATGTTTCACTATGGCTGTATCTACAAAATAATTACACATGAAAATGGTTACACATGAAATGGACATTTTTCATACTATTTCACAGTGTGAAATGAATTCAATTTATTTATATGCAGTAACAGTGCCTTGTTATCAGTTCCACTCTGGAGAAATGTAACAGTGACAATTAATGAATACATGTAATTCAATGTGAGTAATGTAAAAGTAAGTAAGGAGTTGAACTTGTGAGAAATGTAACGAGGATTAATAATGAATTCACCTCATGAGCAATGTTACAGTGCTAGTAATGAGTTCAACTCATGAGCAATGTAACAAGGATTAATAATGAATTCACCTAATGAGCAATGTTACATAGTGAATGATTCAACTCACGGGCAATGTAACAGTATTTAGTAATGAGTTCAACTCATGAGCAATATAACAGTGTTAGTAATGAGTTCATGTCATGAGCAATATAACATTGTTAGTAATGAGTTCATCTCATGAGCAATATAACAGTGTTAGTAATGAGTTCATCTCATGAGCAATATAACAGTGTTAGTAATGAGTTCATCTCATGAGCAATATAACAGTGTTAGTAATGAGTTCATCTCATGAGAAATGTAACAGTATTTAGTAATGAGTTCATCTCATGAGAAATGTAACAGTGTTAGTAATGAGTTCATCTCATGAGAAATGTAACAGTGTTAGTAATGAGTTCATCTCATGAGCAATATAACAGTGTTAGTAATGAGTTCATCTCATGAGAAATGTAACAGTGTTAGTAATGAGTTCATCTCATGAGCAATATAACAGTGTTAGTAATGAGTTCATCTCATGAGAAATGTAACAGTGTTAGTAATGAGTTCATCTCATGAGAAATGTAACAGTATTTAGTAATGAGTTCATCTCATGAGAAATGTAACAGTGTTAGTAATGAGTTCATCTCATGAGCAATATAACAGTATTTAGTAAAGAGTTCATCTCATGAGAAATGTAACAGTGTTAGTAATGAGTTCATCTCATGAGCAATATAACAGTGTTAGTAATGAGTTCATCTCATGAGAAATGTAACAGTGTTAGTAATGAGTTCATCTCATGAGAAATGTAACAGTGTTAGTAATGAGTTCATCTCATGAGAAATGTAACAGTATTTAGTAATGAGTTCATCTCATGAGAAATGTAACAGTGTTAGTAATGAGTTCATCTCATGAGAAATGTAACAGTGTTAGTAATGAGTTCATCTCATGAGAAATGTAACAGTATTTAGTAATGAGTTCATCTCATGAGAAATGTAACAGTGCAAGTAATGAGTTCCATCCATATGCAATGTAACAGTATTTACAAATGTGCTATTCATATATACATGTCTATACTTACCCAACTTGTTTAATAGCCTCTAATAAAGATATGACTAGATCTTCTTCAGCCCAATTCTTACATAATATCTCATCATAGTCTAATAGTACATCTATAAATTCTGTTGTATTCTTTAATAAATCACCTGAAATTGATTAATATTGTGAAAATTGCACACTAGTTCAATATTCAAACAAATTTGTTTCAGTGAAGTTCTATAGCACAGTCGATTAGAGATCGATGTGTGAGTTCGAAGACCTTAAATAAGTCTTTACGCTAAATGGGTACGAATAATCTGGGAAAGATTAATGCCAGCTAGTAAAAAGGATCCTTTACTGTGAACCAAAGTTATCCTTGCAAAATATAGTTGTTTCTTTCTATTTTTCTTTCTTAATAAAGTGATTCTCAGATGAATTTGTTGTCTTCATTTGATTTTTATTAGTAGAGCCCTTTTATAACAAACACAATATGTAACACAACCTGCAAGAAGACAAACACTTATTCTGTCATCAAATTAGTTCAATTTCATTTTGATGATGTCCAAGATAGTAAATGTACCAACTCGCAGACTAGGCTGGAAATCTCCTCAAAGAAATGTTAAGAAAAGTATTGTGATTTGAAGTCAAATTGTATTATATTTTGACAGAATTTTTAACCATTTTACATTTTATATAATTTGTATAGGAAGTCAAACTTCATTCACTGTGAACAGGGAAGTAGACTTGAATAATTAGACACCTTTGAGTTTCCTAAAAAAAAAATGTTTTTTTTTGAGCAGATTTATACAAAATCATCATATTTTAGTCTATGATGTTTCTTTTGAAGCAAACTAGTTTATCATTAGCTCTTGTTCCATGTATCTTTGAAGAGAAGTTTATCTTTATCTCATCTTTTGTTTTAAAAAAGATAGACAGAAAATCCTTGACCCTACATTCCTTACTGTAGAGGCAAGAAATAGGTTTAAGTAGAGAGAGATAAGTTGTTAGTATCTCATAGGTTCATATTTCGGTTAGTATAAATATTACTAGTAGTTTATTGGTTAGAAATAGTGTTACTATACAGTAATCTAAGAGTGATGTTAGGTCATTACACTGTATTGTTGATTATCATGAACTTAGTACATCTAGCTCTCAAATAATAGTCCTTCAAACAAAGTATTCATCAAGTTTCAATCTAAATAAAAGTAAGAAAGAATTTAATTCTAACATGTAAAATATACATTATATTCATTAAATTAGGAACATTCTCTGTTAGTCAATGAGTATTTTTAGAGAAAAATTAGATCTAGATGTTTTGTTTTTCATTTTTATCTGACTACACTTGCCATCCTAAAAAAACATTCGATTTTTTTTAAAACTTTAATTTGATTTCAGGCACCACGAAAATCGTATAATTCCTTAAAAAATATCTCAAACCAGGAATTTCTTTCCAACGGTGAACTGTGAACACTATTACTTATTGACTTAGCTAAAAAATTCCTGTTTCTGAGGCTAAAGTGTGATTGGTTAAAAAAATATGGCACCTGCCACACTTCTTTCCCATACAAATTCTCAGATTTTGGTGCATATTCCACTTAACAGAAGCAGATAAAAAATGATAAATGTGAGTATTGACTGTAAAAAATATAACAGTTACATTAATCTCTCGTTAATTAACTTAATCTTTCTTTCAGTAATATCTGGGTGAGTAGGTTATTATCACAAGGTTATTTATTACAAGATATTTTTAACCTTATCTTTTCTTCACTTTTCTTGTACTTTATACTGTAAGGTCATTTCTATAATTTACTATCTTAATAGTTCAACTTAGTCCAAAACAAAATTTTTCAAATGAAATAATTAGCCGAAGCCCAAAGAGTAACAAATATTTCCTGGTTTCGAAATTTTTGGGACACTGATAGCATTGATTTGCAGCATTCCAATCTTCAGTTAGGCGCTTATGGTTCTTACAATTCCATTAAAATTAAGCATTTTATGATAATATTAGCAGCTTTTGCAATAGCGATATCAAAAAAAGCTTAGTTTAAATGAATTGCAAGTACCAGAAGCGTCTGACTGAAAATTAGAATGGTGAAATTAGATGCAATCAGTAGCTCTGATACAAATTTAGAAAGTCTCTTTACAATCCCTTAATGATTAAATAGAAACATAAGGATTTATCCAAAACAATAGGCGAGAATTATATGGATTGCCACCATCATTTTAAGAACTTTTAGCCCGAAATATTGGAGATTTTGGAAAACCATGTAACCATAGGTATAATTTAAAATGATAAAGTCTTTCAATTTAAAACTTTTCCCATAATTTCAGCGAGATAATGATGCCACTATTCAAAATACCATTAATTAAATGATTATGACGTTAAAAAGGTCAAGTTCTTCTCAAAATAACAGAAATCACAGAAATTGGAATATCAAGAAGCTGATATTTATGTAAAGGTATGAAAGCCTCTTTTGGTCATATAATATCTTGGACAGAATGATCTACCCCCACCATTTAAAGATAGCTTGCCAGGCAAGGTAATAAAGGCCCACTGGCAGCTTTGATTTTGAATACAAATATTTGGAAGTACAGCATTAAATATTCAACCTTCAGTCACACACTTCTTTTGAACTTTTTGAGGTGATACTATACAATATTGTAAAATTAGTAAAAATCCGGCAAGAATTGAGCCTTTAAGATTACAAGCTAAAGATTGAAAGTGTTTTCAAGAACGAAGTTAATAATTCATATAAAATATTTTTTGATTTTTTGTTTAATAAGGTTCATCCTCTGGTAATAATAACCAATTTCACCAAATCTCTCAAAATCTCTTGAGAATTGTACCTTCTAGAATATACAAGCTAAAAATTGAATGAGTTTCCACAAACAAAGGCAGTAACTCATATTAAATACTTTTCGATTTTTCTGATTTTCAATAGGGTTCATCCTTGGTTGATTACAAACACTTACACATAGTTCCATCAAAATCCGTCAAGAATTGTGCCTACTAGTGTTTAAGCGCTTAAAATAGAACATGTTTTCAAGAACAAGGGCAATAACTCATACCCGTACTAAGTATTTTTCAATTTTTTTTATATTTAATAGGGTTCATCCTTGACCTTAGACACTTGTCAAAATCCGTCAAGAATTGTGGCCTCGAGAGTTTTTACGAGGAATTGTGGACCGATCAACGGACATGGGTGACACCAATGTATGTAGACCAAAGAAATGAAAGTCCAAAGTCAGTCTGTAATATTGACATACTGACGTCATATGTCATCTATTTTGGGACATGATCTTCATAATTCAAATAAAAAGATAACTGAATTGCAATGTAATATTGATATTACAAAGTCGAATATTAACATATATATCATGACCTCCTATAGCTCTATTTCTACTAAAGTGCAATGTAACTGAGTCTTTTTTTAAAGATAGCTTGCCAGGCAAGGTAATATACGCCCACTAGCAGCTTAAAAATATTTAGCAGTACAGTAACAATCACCAGTATGAAATATTCAACCTTCAGTCATACACTTCTTTTGAACTCTTTAGAGCGATACTGAATAATATTGAGTATGAGTTAATTCCCGTGTTCTTGAAAACGTGTTCAATTTTTAGCTCGTGAAAACTCTAGAAGGCAAATATTCAATCTTCATAATAATAAAACCAAGTTTTGTCAAAATCCAGCAAGAATCATGCCTTTTACTGTTTAAGAGCTAAATTTGAAAGCGTTTTCAAGAACAAGGGCAATAACTCATACTAAATATTTTTCAATTCTTCTGATTTTCAATAGGGTTCATCCTTGGGTGATTACGACCACTCACACCAAGTTTCATCAAAATCTCTCAATAATTGTGCCTTCTAGAATGATTACGAGCTAAAAATTGAACGCGTTTTCAAGAACAAGGGCAATAATTAATACGGTACTAAATATTTTTCGATTCTTCTGATTTTCAATAGGGTTCATCCTTGGGTGATTACGAACACTCATACCAAGTTTTGTCAAAATCCATCAAGAATTGTGTCTTGTAGAGTGTTTACGAGCAATTGTGGATGGACAGACGGACTGTCTTTAGACCTTAACTGAGATGACTATATTTATAATAAAAACTTATATAAAAAAAAAAAAAGTTTGCTCTAATTTTAATTGGGCTGAGGGAAGAATCCTTGTATGAAGAACATACATATGCAATTTATTTTCAGCATTTTATTTATTGAATTATTAATTTAATCAGAATATAAAAATAAATTAGTTTATGTCCAATAAAAGCTCACTAATAGCCTTCTCAGCCCATTTAGTTTTACTATCTATATGCGTCACTGTGTCAAACTGTTACTAGATAATAAAACCTGATGTTGTTGACCCAATGACGAATACAACTTTATAATTAATCCATTATAACTCTGATAAGCAAGTCCAAAGTGCAATTCTAATGCATATTTTCCTGTTTAAAAAGGCAAACACTACAATCGCAGTAGCAAAATAAAAAATTTAAACATAGGCTTGTTTGTGACTTAATATGAAAAAGACTTCAGTTCCTATACAAGTTACAATAAGTGCTTGCAAGGTATGTTATTTGAAAATGCTTCAAGTTAAAGCATTTTTTCTGTTCGATATGTAAGTCTGTACTTCTAACCAGAAGAGTTTAATGCCTCTTTCTTATGACAGGATTATGTTACATTCTTAATATTAGTAACAGTATGTATACTTTCATATTAATGCACTTAATATTGTGATGTGCAGTGTTTACATTTATATCTGCATGAATATTGTAATGTGTTGTGTTAATATTAGAGCAGTTATTATTGCAATGTGCAGAATTAACATTTGATTGTTAAGAGGTTTTCTATATCTTTTTCTGACTGACATTTAGAATGTTGCAAAGTGATGCTATCAGTGTCTCTGATACACATTTGTTTTTAGAAAACCTCTTTATAATAGCTTTAAATACTTATTACTGTTATATGTTGTGTTTATGTATGAACACTTATTATAGTAATATGCCAAAGGTATTTTCAACTGATGTGTCTCTTGATATGAAACAACAAATTGGTGATTAAAAAAAACGCATTTTATAACAAGTTTTTTAGAATGTTTGCAGACAAAACAGCAATTGTACAGAAGCTTAAATATGTCAAATTAAATAATAATAATGTATAATACAACTGAGTTGTCTTTTATTATTGTCTTATTATTAAAACTGGGTCACTGAGCTATATAAAGTAACATGTGGCAGATGTGAAGAAATCTTGGAACTATGAGTACTCAGACACTCTCGCTAATCCGAAATTGTTTTACGGTCCCAGTGTATGTCTGATTACACAAAGTATACCGTTATGTGTAGTGTTTATCTGTGTTTAACATAAAATTAATGTGGAGTGTTTATATTTGATAATGCCTAAATATGAATTTTCACACTTACTATTGGTTGATGACTGTAAAATAAATTGTAAATCTACTCTCACTTCTTCATCTGCTCTAATATATTCTACCCAGGTCTTGGCTGCTTCTTTATTAGATAAACATGTATATAATAACCTACAATAGATGAAATAATAGTGAACAACTGAAATAAATTAAACTCATAAATAAAGGATGAAAATAGCATGCAGTACACAATGAGGTAAAATTTACCAAGATTAACCAAGTAACACTAAAATTTTCTATTTGTCCTTTCCGATTTTCTCACTATCCATATTCACCAGATTATGACATTATTATCTCAAATACCTTTCAATATCATGCCAAATGGGAGTGGGGTGGGGCAAATGTAAGTTCCCTGATACACGTCAAAAGCTAGAAGACCTTTATTATAAGCAGAGTAACATGTTCACATAATGCCATTAATTTTACATGCTAAAGTGGTATACTTTTCAGAACAACAAATCAGTTCCTTACCTAGTAGTTTCAGTTAAAGTTGGTGGATCAGAATCCTTTAACAACATAAATATCATTTTACTGAAATAAAGGAATGACACGAAATTGCATGAACCTTGGCAGATAATGGAATTAATGTCATAGAAAACAGTCTTCTGCTTTATTCCATAATTATTGCATGAAATCACTAAAACAGTTGCTATTTTCGATATAAGCAGGGGTGACAGAATAATAATAATAATAATAATTTACTCATATAGTGCCTACGATCCTACAATTGAAATTTCTGCTCTATGACGCTGTTAGACAATATTGACATAATACAAATTAACATAAAATATATACAAAAACCAACACTGAAACCTAAAAACCTATCAACCTAAAATAGTATTACAAGCAATAACACATCATTAAGAATAATACTGTTTAAATAGTTTCAGTTTTTAGTTGTTCTTTAAAAGATGGTAAGGTGTCAACATTTCTGAGATTAGCAGGTAGAATTCCATAGATAAGTGGCAATAATAGCAGAAAACGATATCTTAAATTAAAAATGTATCAGGCTGAATAAACTTTTTTGTCTTAAGAGGACAGCGACTAAAACAAAGCTCAACTTTTCAAGATATATTATTCTCTAATAAGATTGAGCAATTGATAAAGATGAAATGAAGCTAATCAAATACTTACACAAGTTTTTCATTTTGTACCATTGCTTTACAAATATTTGAATCACAGCACATATTGCCTAATATACCTACACAAATTTCCTGTTGAAAAAAATACAATTACCTTAATAAAAAAAATTTTCAGTATGGTCAAAAAAGAATTCATAAAACATAAAAAAAACTTAGATTAGATTTTTCACTAATGAGTGCAGCCAATCAGGGTACTTGTCATAAAGATTGTCAGAATTATGGCTTATGGTTTACAGACTTTCTGTCGAGGGATAAGAATGGCTGTATTCGGTAGCATGCAATCCAATCAAATTGCTTTCACAAATTCTGAAATACCAGATAAGAGACCCATGAAATCAAGGTATTGACGCACTTCATAATAGCTTGACATTGTGAAAATACACCTTTTCAGACACAGATTGAGAGCAGTAATCTTGAAAAGTTAATTCAATGGAGTCAATGTGTAAATTAGTGTAAACCATTATGAAGGAACTCACTGTTACTCTTGGTGCTTTAGATTTCTCAATAACACCAGTTAAAATATCTATTGCTTTATACTCATGAAGAAAGGTGGCCACTTCCTGAAATAAAAGTAGAACATTGCACAAGTGTTTCAGTGAGTGCTTTTATCAAATTTGTTTTAAATGTGGTGCTAGAAAAAAGCCTCTTGGTGAAAGACAGATCAATTGATGAACAAAAATAAAACTGAATTGCAATCTTTCTTCAAGAATGTCCCCAAGGTCAACCATCAAAGTTCTTTTATATCGACTACTATGAGTACTGTAGCCCTTGTTGGTGGTGAGGCTAAACCTGCTATAGCTTGATGACACCTGGTGATGTTCTACAACTTGAAACCCCTTTCAGAGAGTCCACATAACATAGCTAATAATGCTTATTTGGTGTATTTATTTCTTCCTTACCCCATTCATTGACATATCCCATAATTTACATAATTCATTCTGTGTTTCTTCATCCACCTCTTCATCATCATTATCTTCATTATTAACATCATTTGATGCAGAAGATGAATCGTTTCCATCACAAGAACCATTTTTAATTTCACTTTCTTTTGGTTCAACCTCCTGAAATAATGTATATCAATTAAGAGATTGTCTGAAGTTAACGTATTTTTGGATGAATATTGTTTAGTATATTGAATCTCAAGAATCGTTGAAGCCCTAATGAAGTTAGAATTTTGCTTCATATAAATGAAATTGTGCTCTATTTGCTGGTAAAAAATTATCTATAACTTTTATCTTCTAATGTACAATATATAATATAAATTGAAATTTATAACTATAAAGGTGTCCCATACTTTTATAAGTTTCATAAGAGTAGTAAACAACCAATGTTTACTAAAAGCTGTTTGACCAATACAATCACCAGATGATGCCTCAATGTTTGCCTGTAATTCTGGAGGTGGAGAGGGATTTCTGTCTTCACCTTCACCATAATCCTCTTCACTATCTGAAATTAAAACTCCACTTTAAATACACCAAAAATTAGGAGTAGCCCAATTGTTTAATCTTTAGAGGACCAAGTTTAAAAATTCAATAATTTCATCTGGCATTGTTTTGCTTTATGTTATTGTACAGTAATTTTATTATTTTATTACCTACATACTTAGGTAAATATTTATACTTATGAAACGGGGGCCTGGATGATTGTTTCAGCTATTTGCACAACATTTGCACCAAGTTTAAAAATTCAATACTTTCATTTGGCATGTCAATTTTTGGTTTTTGTTGGCATTGTTTTGCTTTATGTTATTGTACAGTAATTTTATTTGATGCCAACAAGAGATTTGCTTGTAATATATAGTTTCTGTGAAGTCTCTAGGTTTGGAGAATGTTCTCTTGTCCAACAGATTTAAAATCAACATTATTTCCATCTCTCAAATTCCTCCATACTTTTACATAGATTTAATTAGACAATAAGAAAAAATTCTTATTGTTAAATAGTGCTCAACATCAATTGTAGAGGGATATAGAAATATTAATATCTATAGATTTAATTAGATCTTTTAGATTACTTATATGTCATTATCATTCTTTTGATGTTTCACAGAATGTTTGTAGTCATTTCACATTGGTAAACAACAAGTGCAGTCTATCAATATCATGTCTATATTATTATTGGTCTATTCAGTCCACAAATTACTGTAGTAGAATGGTGCTACTACAATATTTCAAAACATTTCAAAATGATAACATAAGAAAATAAATAGTTTCGAATATATTAAAGTAATCGACAAAATTACCACTGTTCATTTTGATAAATGGTGGTTGTTCGGCTTAAAAATTAAAGATTATAAAACTTTGCTTAAATTTTCAATTTTAGTACCGCCATATTTTCTATCAGAGTTATCTTTCTTCGAGCACCTGCTTCTTTCGATTATCCAGTATCTTCTTCCCAGCATATCAATCAATCGAAACGTACGATAATATTCTGAACGAAAATCATTTCTAAATTAGCGGGAAAATGTCTGCATAAATAGGGAGTCGTTTCAGGTACGGTAGTGTGTAAACTCGTAAATCTGCCTAAAGACTCTACACTTTCGAAGAGTCTGAGTAGACATTTTCTAACGCAAATTCAGACGATAAGTTGTGTGAAATCATACTTACGACTGCTTTTAGTTGACGTAGGATTTAGGTAACATATTACGTAAGTAAAAACCTTAGGCCTACGTCTTTTAGTGAAACGCAAATTTTACCTACCGGTACATACTTAAGTAAATATTTATACTTATGTATCTTAATGAAACGGCGGGGCCTGGAAGATTGTTTCAGCTATTTGCACAACATTCGCTTTGTGAGAAGGCTAATTGTTGCATTTTTGAAATAAGCCAATTTTATTTTAAATTTTAAATGTATATTTGTTTTCACGGTTTTGTTTTAGTTGGTTTTTTTTGTTGTGTTTTAATGTCCTTAATTTTTGCTGAGACAGAAGTTTATTCTATGGTAGCCTAACAAGAAGCTGGCAAATTGTAACTTTTCTTGACACTATGACAGTTTTCTATACAGCCCGAAATCAGAATGGGTAGGCCTCAGTAAATGTCGAAGTTTCAATTTACTTTATGCCCTAACAACAAAAATCGAAATTTGTTCCATCCAGTCAATCTCTTTTGTTGTCTGTGCTGTTATAATCAAATTGAATTTAAACATTTTGAGTACTACTGACATCTCAAAACTAAGTTTAAATTTTTTGGAAAGCTGATTAGCTGAAATGATTACATATTGATTACCATATTGGTCCAAGGTGAAAAGGTGTTGAAATTAACTTGAAAAGTGTTGGGCTTTATGATCCGATTGATCTGTTTAGGGTGTAACGGGTAATGATAGCGGGAAAATATAATAGCTTCTGGCTTTGCTGGGCTGATAACAGTTAACCAATCAAATAACAGTTTCCCAATCACCGTTAGCCAATCAAATATCTTAATATTTGCACGTGATATTGTGTACACGACGTCACAGTAAAAATCATTCACCAGTTTCATAACAAACTATGCTCTCAGACGACAAACTCTAGCACGATTATCTCGCATTAATTTTAATATTTTGGAACATATAACTGTATTATGCCATTTGTGGATTATAAGTTAAAGGTATTCGATATTGAGAATTTATAGAAGTATGAATTTCTCGTTTTCGGGATGTGGTTTTCTTGGAATATATCATATTGGAGTAGCTAGCTGTTTCAAAACACATGCGCCACAACTTATTGAATCCTGCAAATTTGCAGGTGCCAGCGCCGGAGCTATTGTGTCATGTTGTTTAATGTGTGGATGTTGTTTGGGTAAGTTGTATAGTAACTTAAATCTTTCCCAGTCATTATATCCTGTTATATTTCATTTATGAATGCTACTACCCGTTAATGTATTATACATTGTTGTAGAAAGATTTTTTTTTTTATCAATGAATAAACTTTTGTTATGGAATATATGGCGACGTTGTTGTAAAACGTAATACATTGTTTTCATAATAGGTAGATGGTCCCATGCATAAGCTTAAATCGTAGTAAATTGTAGTAATACATCTCATAATTAATCCGTTGAATCGTAATTCTCACTTCTGTATTGTGGTTGTTGACGCAAGACTTGTGCTTCAATCAAATGATTGGCTGAAATCTCGGTTTGGTGTCAGGTCAAAGGTCACAAGGTCGTTTAATTCTAGAAATCGTACGTTCTAGTACTGAAATGTCAAATTGTGACGCCTTTAAATTAGATGCGATGCTGATCCTCATTGAATTTACATTCATTTAAGTAGGCCTAACCATAAATCACACCTTTTGTCTCAAAGATACAGTATTACTGCTACTGTTTATTAATATAAACATACATACATAATACATAATACATACATAATAGATGTATATTTAGAAGCTCAAAATTTAGTATAATATGTTGTTAGATTTTCTGATCTGATCTTTATAAATGGCCTGTGGGTTGCCGTTGATAAGATCCAAGATGAAATGAGAAGTCTAAGGTGTTAACAATAGCGCCATTGTTCCAACTTGATCCAAGACTACTAGCCCTGGCGCCATTTGGGCCAATATTAGAAGACTAGTTGGATCTATGATCAGACCCGTAACCAGCCCAATGTACCAAGGGGGACAGCCGTATTTGCATGGGGGGCAAAATAGCTGATAGAGACTGATTTCGGGTTCAATTGAGAATTTGTTCTAATTTTAAGGTGGGGCTGGTTGGGGAATTCTATGTAAAGTACGAAATAATGATCAAGTCAGCTTGGTGAAATCTTCCTCTATCTACCCAGAATACAAATATTCTGAAAACCATAAGAATTGCACTTCTATTTGTTGTTGTGTTCTTTTTTTATATATAAGCTTATATCTTTAGCCTCAAAGAGAAATAATTAAGACTTAATGATTGACATTGATGGAAGAGTTGTGATTTCTTTAAAAGATGAAAGGTTAACTATTTACCTCTATCAGAAAAAAGATCTGTGAATTATGAAGTGGAAAAGTTATCTTTGATTAGGGTTTACTATCTTTTGATCATTTTGTCTACTTGACTTATGTTAAACTCCACCTCTATGTTACTATCTTCAACATGAAATACCCAAAGCAGATAGCAGTGAAATTGGATATCCATTATTCATGCATGTGACTTAAAAGTCTGAGGCTGAGGTTCCAGACCATTTCCTGCTATTTTTCATTTCATTTCATACTAGCTTCTTCAATCCGAGATGAAGTAAGATTTACTCAACAATTTGTAAAAGTTACATGCCATGGTTTCACCAAAGGTTCTGGGGTTCTGTCTTTGCAATCGTAGGTTGAGAAGATTCTTTCACAGGCAGAAGATGATATATCTTATTGTTTGGACAATGAACCAAGGTCAAGTATTAGAAATAAAAAAATGTACGCTGCTGTCCTCACAATTTCTCTCATAGCTAACAAAACTCTATTTCATTGATTCTGGAGTTGAAAAGTGTTATCGATAAATTGTCTTATAGAGGGTTTGGTTCAACATTCAATACTGTGGGTTTGTGCTGATACCAAATATCCATGAATACTGGTAACATGTATATTTGCTTCGATATCAAGAAAAATACTGATGTCTTACCTTGAAATATGCTGAATTCATGATAATTTTGATTTTCATGGTATTTGTTTTATTTTCAGGGGAATGTACTAACTTTACTTTACGTCTGGCAACAAAAGCAAGATCAAGAACACTTGGACCTTTACATCCTAGTTTTCATATCAACAAAATATTACGTGAAGCCTTGCGGCAAGTTTTGCCTGAAAATGCCCATGAAATTGCCAGTGGAAGATTATTTATATCATTAACCAGGGTATCAGATAAACAGGCTGTTATCGTTTCCCAATATGATTCCAAAGAAGAACTCATTCAGGTTTGTAGATACAATCTAGTCCTTGAAAGATATTTGATTAAATTAGGAAATTGAAAAATTTTACATTTAAGCGAATAGTCCTTTATTTTCAGACAAAACTATGAAATAGAAATATCTTTCTGAACTTAAAACTGTGTAAAAACTTGATTACATAGGTGACAAAAGAGGTGAGATAATGACCCTCTAGACAGGATTTTAGTAACTTAGTATAAAATAAGCATATAAACCAATTATCATGAAGCAGTGAAGATTATCTAATATAATGAGATGATAATTTATTGTGGATAAATATCACAGTGGGAGATCTTGGTTTAATATTAGATCAAATATTTAATAGTCTAGGTTACCAAGGCCAAAACCTGTAATAAAACATGATAGATTTAAAGCTGTAGCTTTTGATCATAAACTCTTTATGACTTTCATATTTTTTTATACACGAATTACTTCAGTCATAATCAAGTTATTTTCTCAAATTATATTAAAAGTTACCTTATAGACTATAAGCTTATGGCAGATATCATCCATTGCTCATAAGACACCTTGTTATGTATACATAAAATATAAAAAATTTTAAAAGAATTTAACTTGCTAAAATTTGCTAAACTTTGGATAATCATTCTTAATAGGTATTAAATTAATGCTCAGATATTTGGAGTCTAAGCAGATTATTATTGTTTTACTGTACACAGTTCATACAAAACAGAAATTTGTGAAAGTACCCAATCTTTTTCTCCCCAACAACATTTAAACTATGATCTCTCTCATTACCATTATCAAAACCTGATCAAAATATTTTTCATAAGTCTATGATTATATGAATTGAACATGACACTTTGTAGCTAATAAATAAAGTGACACCCAGACAGATCTATTTTAATAAGAAATGTAATGTATGTAAGAAATGTGAAGGTGTCTGATATCTAATCATTATAAAAACTGTCATAAAACTTATAGAAATTTAACTAATAATCACTGTCACACTGTGTAAATTATAGACTTGTATGTAGACAGTTAATTAGCAAGTTAACAATAATGATCAATATTTTCACTATTAAAATTGTGCTTAGTACAATTGTAGAGCGATATAGAAATATTATAACAGAACCTAAAAAAAAACATGTGGTTACTCAAGTTTCTTCAGACAACTTACCTTTTTTCAGTTATTTATATCATTATCAGTGATTTCCATACCAATTTTAAACAATTGTCTATTAACATGAGATAAGCGAATTTGAATCACACCATTCTGTACAGTACCTACATTTTCTCTAACTTTTAGTCAGTATGCATATTTCATTTTGGTTGATGCATATTCATGTTTACAAGGAAATCTATTCTTTTTTATGGATATAATATATCAAAGTTTTTGTAGTAAATAAAGATGAGATAATTTGTTTTATTTCAGGCATTATTATGCAGTTCTTTCGTGCCATTTTACAGTGGATTGATTCCACCAAAATTTCGAGGAGAGGTAAGAAAAAAATAATGATATCTTTTTTAAGCTTATTGAAAACTGCTGAAAACCCTAAATTGTACGTCAGTTACAAATGTACCACAAATCAGCTTCCAACTTCAAGTCAATGCAAGCATCTTCATAGTGGTCAAGATATTACTAACTTCTTGTTATATCTTGACTACAGCCACTTTTCTTGTATCACAGAATGCAGAATTTTGATTGGAATGTACTCCAAAGATTTACAACCAATCAGAGCACTCAACTTTTAACATTATGACTTATTATTTACAGACTTTCTTTTGGGGGCTCTGATTGGCTGTATTTTCTAGTGTAGAAATCAATCAAATTACTGCATTTACAAACCTGTGTTATACAAAATAATTGCTATTGTAGTCAAGGTATAAGATGAAGTTATAAGGTAATACCCTGACCTGTGAAGGCTGATTCTAAACATATACCTAAATAAATACCTAAATGAAATAAGTGGCTGCCGGTGTTCATGATTTGAACTAGGTTTGCACTTAAAATCTTTGACCCAATTTACTGAAACGTTCTAACATTGAAGTCTATGACTTGTGTGAAGAATAGAATTAAATAAATGTTGCCAATATTATACACCTGATATATAAAGTTTTTTGACCTGGTATTTTTATTTCTGTATATTGTAGAGAGAATATCAATACACCTAGTTATTGATTCCTGATTAAATTATATATTTGTTATCTGCAGTAAGCTTAGTGAATAGGTCTAAATAAATAATTGATATATATTTTATATTGATAGTCTCTTGAACTGTAAAAAAATTTTCCCACAAAGTGTCAAATCGGTGGTTTTAAGCCACATTCAACACTTAAATCATGATATTCGTTTACATCCAAAATCATCATGTTTGAGTAGTGATGCTTCTTTGTTTTTCATTACAAATTATATTTGGCAAAGGTATGGCCTTGTAAGGAATACTCCTTCCTAAATTTTTACTTTGTTTCTTGCTTACCATCATAAAACAATAAAGCTGATAAAGCTTCATGGGAACTGAAGGTGCTTTGCAGACAAGGTTGAAATTTAAATTATAGAAAAATCGCAAATATTATGAATATGACCAAATTTGAAAATAGCTGAATTTTAGTTGATGAATATGATAAATTCCTAGAATAATCTAATCATGAACTGATTAATTAGCTTTGATTACCTGACCTCTATGTTTCAAACAAAGGACATCAGCTAAAAGCTATTAATAGTATATTGAGGGGGCTTACTTATTTCACCTCTAGATATACCACTTGTCATCAGGTCAATTTGAGTTATGAAACATCAGAGTGTGTTTATATGCTACTTGTCCATCAGATCATCCTTCATTATAAAACTTCAGGAAAAATATATCCGAAATCTGATTGTACTAATGACACTTTAAAAAATACACACGAATAATGAATTGGTGTCATGAACTTGTCAAAATCATGTGGAAATAATAATCTTATGATTAATGTGTCATTTTTTTCATGATACAAATTACATCAATTGACCAGTGCATTTTTAGTTCTTTTTTTACTTTTAAGTTTCACTTGAAAGAAATTAATATGCTTAGAATTTAAATCAATTTAAAAAAGACACATCTTTATAACAATCAGTGGTTAAATTTTGTCATAATGTTTCAACAAGTTTCTCCATATATTCAGAAAGCTGTGTCTATAGTTCATACTCGAGACTTAGATACAAAAAAAGACTTTGATAAAATGTATTAGATTACATAACATGTCAAGTCTAGCACTGTTTCATCAATCATGCCATTATAGTCAGATACATATCGGGATATGGGATGATGGGATGAAAAAGATAAACATGTATTCACTTTATATATCACCAATTCACCGATATAACATGCCAGCACTAGTCCTGTCTGATATGTATCCAAGTCTGTGGATTATTAGCTGTATAGTTTTGTACAATAATTCTGTCTGATGCCAAAATACCAATAATTGTTTTAATTGGTCTATTACAGAGATATGTAGATGGTGGATTGAGTGATAATTTACCAATATTAGATGAACATACTATCACAGTGGCACCTTTTGCAGGTGAAAGTGATATTTGTCCAAAGGACCCCTCATCTAATTTTTTACATATTAATATAGTTAATACCAGTATGCAGTGTAGTGCTAAAAATTTATACCGTATGTCCCATGCTCTGTTTCCACCTGACCCAGAAGAATTAAGTAATATGTGTCGTCAGGGCTTTGATGACACATTAGTCTTCCTTCAGCAAAATAGTAAGTTGAAAATTTAGTCCTATATTCTTTTAAGGTTACCGCTACTCACTTAAATCTAGCTTGCTTAGTTATTCATATTTGTGAAATAGTTTTCGTGTTTTATTTATTATGAAAAGCAGAAGTTTTATTCTTGACCCACATTGACAATGTCTCTTTATTAAGTACAAATTCTCTGATGTCACTTTGTGACAGTGTATTTCAACTACACAATGTCAATTTAGAGTGTCAGCATAGTTTAATGTTATTTTGGTCTTAAATTATTGCCAGTTCATTTGTTTTTTTTTTTTTTGTGTGGATTTTGTGATGTTATATTATTTATCATTTTCTATTTTAGGTCTGATATCATGTACAAGACATCTGACAGTAAGATCATCTATAACAACTAAATCATTAACAGAAGATGAATCAATGTTAGATAGTCTAAATTCTCCATCTACCTCCCATAATAATCATAATGAAGATGAATGTCCAGAATGTAAAAAGAAATTACAAGTTGCTTTATTAGATTCTTTACCACCAAGTGTTGTTTATGGTATGTTTTATAAACCTATATTTTCTTAACATATTCTTGTAAAATATATGACTACATTACAGCAGTAAAAGTCAGTTGATAGGGTGGAATGCTGACACTGGGCTGAACACTGGTCCTGGCATGAGAATTTTGCAAGAGTTAATGTAAATGAGCAAACTGCATACCTGTAGGTAAAACTTACCTAGGTAAGTCGGTAATCTTATAATGTTAAGTTACCATGAAAAATCTCTTCTCAAATCACATCCAAAATTTATATTGGGGAAATATTATTGAAAGGATATTATAGAAACAATATTCATTTCATATTTCTCCTAAACAATAAACGTTGATATTGGAAAAACAGTTAATTTAGGATCATAGGCTACAGTTTCATTGTATTTAAAGTTATTTATGTTTATCAAATGAACACATTCTAATCACATTATTGAATGTTTTCGTCTTGTGCAATAACAAAATGTTAAGAATTTTTACCATCAGACAATAGCACATCAAAAAGGAGGGTTTTAAATCGCTTGAATAACTTTAAGGTTCTCTTATTGACACACTTCAAAGACTTTTTGTTTCTTCCTTCTTTACCTCTCTTAAACACCCTGTTGATATAAGAGCTTTAAATCTATTGTTCTTAGACTAAATAAGGGTCTGATTTGAAAGATATAAAGAAATGACCCGAGGGAAAGTCTACATTGCATTGTTTTGACTCTGACTTCTTATAACATCTGTCTAGTGTCAGATTAAAGAGATACCATAGTTTTATTCATCTTTAATGAAGTTGAAATAATTACTGTAATGAAATCAATTATTAGATAATATTTAAGATAATTACTGACTGATTTCTATGTAAAAATATTGAATCTGAAAAAACTAAACACTAGATATCACCAATTAGCAAGGACTTCAGCCAAATTTTTTTTTGTCAAATGAAGCTTTCAATATGCTACCATTTGATTTAAAATAATATCAACTTGGATGTTGTCTTATCATATGAGATATTACTTTATTTTGGATTGAATATTTTATTGAAAAATGCAGATTTGAAAGGCCTGATTACAAGTTTTCAACTAGTCTTTCCACTTTATGTTAAATTGAGAAAAAGTTAGTTCACATCATAATAAAGAAACTTGAACTATTATGTAAAATGGGCATGTGGTTGTGACTATACAAAGATTATTTGATGCAATAGGTAGTGAGATATTGACAAAGATTCTCACGAAAGAGATATGCTCTATCTGAATTTCAAAGATGGTATTGCTTTATAGTTAACAAGTCATCTTTATTTCCCTTGACAGTTATCAAACCTGTCTATTGTTAGATTTCAATAAACAGCTGTCAGGTGACAGACTTTAATGGTCAGTTTGATGTCCAGTAATTTATCATTTGACCTCCCCTACTGGTTTATACAATAGATAAAATATCCCTTACTGGACATAAAAACGTGTACCTCTTCCACCTCGATAAACATCATCATTTCAATCTCTTTTTCTTTTTGATAGACAACTGTCAGTAAACTTATGATAATTGTTTTTACATTGTTTAGCTAACTAAGTTCACAAGCTAATACAGTCTTTCTTGACAAAAAACTTCATATTTATGTGTCACTTCAATTTTGATGTCTCATTAAAAAGCTAGATAAACTATAATAACTCCTTCTTATTTCTTCGTTTAGAGACTTCAAAAGACTTAACTCTAAGCACAGATTTATGATTAGTTGAGATAATTATAGACAACTTATTTGGAAATTCTTACATAAGAGTAAACTAAATATTGTAAATTAAACATCATTGTCAAGTGAATTAATATCATGAATGAAATAAAAGTTTACAAAAATGAGACAGGTACAAATGTTCATCATATTCAAATAACACCTAATACTGTTAAAACCTTATAAAATTAATCATTTAGATTAATAGTTTGAGAATTGAGTTTTTACCAAAAAAAATAAAAATGGAATCTGAAGTAGCAAATTCATTGTCTGGATATCCATTGGATTATAACAAACATAATATATATATTTCAGCACTACAAACGGCATGTGATTCAGTGAATAAAGGATTGGTGAATTATTTTTATAGTACCAGACCTATTAGATTATTATCTATTGTTTTTACACCTTGGATGTTACCTGTTGAAATAGTTTATAATACTGGTGTTAAGTAAGTATATTTTTCACTTCACCACCTGCATATATGTCAGACTCTTTTTTCGCAAAAAAACGTTAGTTTTAGATGAACTGGCATTTAATATTGAAAATGTTGTTGAAATTTTGGAGTAGTAAACGTTAAAGGTTGACACCATGACACTCAGTTAAGAATGCATGAAAGGAGAATGTTTTTTAGAATACTGAACTGAACTTGGTTTATGATCATTGGATATCTTTTCCAGGTTTTTAGAATGGTTGCCTTCAATGCCCCAAGATGTTCAGGCAGTATTCAGTGACATTTCAGAAAATTTACAAGAATTGGTCTACAAAATTCTACACCAAAGACATAGTTATTCTGCAAGGTAGTTACCAGTTTGCTAGTTTGATAAAAATATTTACTGAAGTTGAAAAATGGATTTTTAGCTTAAATTATGAGATTTTAAATTGATTGTGGCACCATCTGAGATTGCTATAGCCTATCTTTTTATCCTGCAATTCTAGGTTAAATAAAACTTCATCTGTTAGTGTTTTAGCTGTTTCATTATACATAATTTTGTTTTTTCTGCCAGGTCATGATGTGTTTTAATGTTTTTTTCAGATTTACCTGTCAGTTAGCTATTACAGAAGTAAAATGTGCTAAAGATAAAATACAATCGAGACCATCAACAAGATCACGTTCCAGATCTCTTGGTCCAATGATTCGTGATTATAATATTGGTTTCGCTGTTGATTTCATCACTCAAGAACGTGATACAGTTAGATCATTACACAATCTAGAAGGACACATTGATAAAATCAAAATGGAGGATATTCATTTTGAGAAGAGTTATAAAGATGGCTCTATTCTTTATCAACCTAGTTCTTCAAGACCTGCTCTTGAAAGTGGTGCTCCTTGCCAGGAACTCTTTGATACATTTGAACAATGTTTACAAGTGACCAATCACATGGAATCGGTGCTATCATATCATTACCAAGATCCTGACAACAAGGGGTGCTATAAGATTGCTGATATTTACAGTTTGAAGGACGTTCCTATCAAAATTCCAGAAACGGATACAGATACATCTCAAACTGTATCTGATACATCTCAAACTGTTTCTGATATGGACTTGTCCTGGGATAGTTATGTGGAAATGAAACCCGAAATTGAAGAAGAAATTGATGCATTTATTGATTCAGCACTTTGTTTACCTGATTTTGATTCTGATAGTTATAGAAGTCAGGATGAAATGTAAAGGGTTGAATGTTCACTATGTTCAAAATTTTGAAGGCCTTCACTTATGTTTTTGGGTTATTTCCTAATGTTCAAAATGTCACTTTCGCAGACTTTCACAGACATTTAAACAGTATTTGATTTGTATTATCTTCAGTGTGCACTTTTAATATTACACCAATTTGTTAATTATATGCAAGGCTTTTTTCTGTTTAATTTTACAAAATATAAAATTAGAAAAAAAGGATTTTTAATATTCATTACTTTTTTATTTGATTTTGTTAAAGTTTTTTTTAAAGGTTTCAATGATTTTCTATTCACAAACCAATTTTAATATTCAGGCTCTTTTATTGTAATCTGTATATTTTGTCTGTAGTCAAAGTGCTATTTTTGTTTCGTTCTGTTTAAAAAGATAGTTAGAAGACAAAAATACCATATTTGTAAGTTTGCCATGGCATCTTTTAAGTTTTCTGTATAACTGTCTATTTTAAATTTGTATATTTTGAAGTGGCCATATTTAAGTTTTGAATATTGGATGTATATAATTATATATATTTAAGTTGATTATGCTAGGTATTGCTCTGATTTTGTATAGAGGGTAACGTTTTGAAAATGTTTTTCCTCAATGGAAAATTGCAAGATAAACTAATAAATAAGCTTAATATGAAAATGTTTGCTTAGAACCTGTTTTGTAGACAATTTAAGGACAGTTTTTGTCCGGTTCACATATTTTATAAGAAACCATCTCAACCTAATATAAAATTATATTTTCTTTGATTATTCTATGCAAATATGTTGAAACCGGTTTCAGTCTCCTGTCCAACTATATTCTTAAATATGTCTTTCAATGTGTATAGTAATTGTAAATAAATTGTATTTATTTTTAATATTTCACATTTTATATATCAAACACTGTACTGTATTTTGGGTTCTGGTTTTGCTCCATGATCTAAGAAAATAAAAAAAATGTGAAAATTTTTGAGTTATTCAGTTCAAAGAATGTCATATATTTTATATGGTCAGTTTTTGATTATAATAATGCTTGGTTCACAAAATATTCTTGATAGATTTTATAATTCTGTTCAAATATCTTTGTGGTTAAAATACTGGCAAAATGTTTTCTCTCATTTAGTGACTCCGCATTCCATGGAAAATTCAGCATTTTTGAAAAATATCTGATAGGATTTATGATGCTTACAATATACTATTTTGTACCATATGTATTCTAATGAATAGAAATAAAACTTGGTTAGATTGATATGCATGGTTAACTATTTCTTTAAAATGAAATTAATTGGGACTAAACTGCTTTCTTTGTACACCTTAGTTGGCTCGTGATGACTATTGTTAAACGGCAGAAAGATAATATTTTATATCAGTCAGACAAAATTTTCTTTTTTTTCTTTTTCATGTTAAAAGTATTTAACATGGTCAGTCTGTAGCAGTATAGTTGGTAGATATTTTGTCCCATATTAATTATAATAAGAGACATTCGTCCTTCATGAGTTTCAAGGTTTTCCATAAAATAAATACAAGGTAGCCCAATATCTTCACCTATATAACAGAGTTAAATCAACCTCGTTAGTGATCTTCACATAAGCAGACTAATTTAGATTCACACGGCTGACAGTGGTGTATTTAGGGGGTGAGCCATTTAAAGTTCATTCCATGCCATCTGAAATTCGTTGGCTTTTAGGGGTCTCTGGCCTTTTTTTTGAGAAATGTCCCGATAGGGAACTGGTACAGATTCACAACAGCTTGACATTGCTTGTTTATATATAGGTCAAATAATATGAGAAACTATTATAAGATTTAATAGTGTTCTGATCTCAATAGAGTATCAAGAGTTACCTGTGGTAAAATCAAGTACGTTATCTCCCTTTGATCTAATATTGCTGTGCATTTCTTCATCCGTCTTGTAAACAATCCAGAAAAGAATGTAAGATAACGACGTAAGGAAGGTGAGGGGAACATTTATCTGTTTTATCAGATAAATCTACATGTGAATGTTAAAGATTTCAATAATTTAGTACAGAAAATTGTCAGTGATTTCGGAATTAGATCTAGGCCTTAGATCTATGACTAGCGACTCGAGATTGAGAAGAGAGTCAAAATCAAATACGTCGTAGACGGTACCGTAACGGTAGTATTTTATTTAACCTTACCATTTATTTATGCTACTTAGAGCCATTACTGTCGGTAATAATATTACCATGCGTTGAAATCGGCCCAAAAGAGAACTTCACGTTAAGAAGAATACATCCAAACTAAAGTGTATCAATATCAACATTTATTTAGGTTTAATTATCACAAACTTTTGATGATCTGCTAGTAATAAGGGTGGCCCGGCATGTACGATTAACACAGTTAAATGATTATGAATTAATAAATATTGGAATTTTAGTCCCATTACCCCAAATTGCGATTAGTATCATTTGAGATCCATTTATTGCAATATGTATCACATGTTTGGCAATACCCAGCACTAATGTTATTCAATATTATAATTATCTCCAAATAATTTTCAAACTTGAGATTCAAACTAGCCTAAAAATGTGACCATCTTATGTTGAATGTTAATATGTGTTGCAATTTCTTGAAACTTTATTAAAATTAACAGAATTAAAATCGTACAAAATTACAATCTACGATTTATCTGAAGAATTGTAAAGTTTATTGTTTATTTCATATAAAATGCATCCATAAGTATAGATTTTGCCTGAATTTTTTTTAGGTCATGGAAAAGTTATTACCTGTCCAACATAAGATTTCTTGTATATTTGAAATTTGTGTTCAAAATGAACCATCTGAAAAACGTTCACATCAACCATACAAAGTTCTAGCTGGTGATAAACTTAATCCTAAACTTAAAGATGGGGAATTAAATGGTGCTTTAATCACAGAGAAACTTGATGGTACTTGTGTTCTTATTCAACAATATGAAGGTAACAATAAGTTTTTTTGATCTTATATATTTCTTGGTTGATGGTTGAACAGTCCTATTTAGTGTTTGTGACTTCCACAAATTTACACCTAAATGTTTTGAGTATAACCAAAACAAAATGCCACACATCATATTTTTTTTTTTTAGAAATGTTTAATCTTAAGCCAAATCCAGTTGTTTTTAGATAAATTAAATTATTTCTGAATTAAAAGAAAAGAATTGATTTTTCTTGTCACAAATTTATGTTATCCCTTGTGTTTAAAAATTTTTTTTTGCTTCAGGGAAGCCCTGGTTATGGGCTAGATTAGATAGAAAACCTAATAAGAATGCTGATAAAAGGTTTAAGAAATTCCAAAGTCAACACCAGTTCACAGAAAATACTGTTGAAGAAGACAAACCAAGGTTCAACTGGAATGTATCAAAAGATTTCAAGGTGAGAAGTTGTAATGGATGGCGAGAGATATAAAATTGCAATCAGGATATCGCTAGTTTTGAAATTTGGGTTATCTTTCCAATATTTGGACTTGAGGCACATAAGGTATATAAGGAGCTGATCAGTCCAATCCACTACCATGGCTGTGGATCAGTAGATGCAAAGCTCTATCCAGTGAATCTTGGAGAATTGTAGAAAACACCATTTCCAGCATCAAATCATTGAAAATGAGTATGAAAAAAGTAGTTTCCAATTGATTTCCAGGAGGTACCAGATAATTGGATACCGGCAGGTGGAGTAGAAATAAAAGATGGTGAAGCTTTGCCAGACCATATAGGACACACACCAGGATGGGTACCAGTTGATGTCAAATTTAGACAACATTGTTGGCATCTTACCTCTGTTGATTTACAGACTGGAATAGCCGTTGTCTTAAGGTAAAACATATTTCCATTTGACTTTGATAGTAATTTGTTGAATTCCTATGTTTTGTTAGTAAATCATTTCATTATGAAACATAAAAAAAATGATACTGTCCAATTTTCGCTATCCATTCATTTTTGTGGTATGATAATTTAGGGTCTGTTTTGTCCACAAATAGATATTGAGCAACGTAAGTGATGACAGTCAAAGTTTTGGGGTTACTAACAACAATGCCCCTTTTGATTATATCATTGTAACTATGAAAAAATGATGATGACTGCCTGGAAATTTTTCATCACTGCAACTGACATTTTTTGGTTAATCTTTTTAAAACAGAACAGCAGAATTTCATTCTGGAAAGAAGTACTTATTAGTCATATTAAAATGAGTCTTAAATGTATAGGCTTAAGATATGAGAAAATGTATTTATATTTTTTTGACAGGGAAAGTGAGAGTTCTGGTGAATTAGTCATAGATTGTGTACCATTAAAAACACTAGAGGGAAAAACAGCAGAGTTAATAGGTACCATGATTAATGGTAACCCTTATAGTGAGTATCATACATTCTCACATTAATAATTTACAGAGAAAAAAAACAATGTGGGAAGGATTTTCATTGCAGCACTTTTGTTACGAAAGTCATACTCATGTGTTGTGTGCAAAGCACTTCTTGGAGGGCTCCACTACTATAATACAATTTTGTCATTCTTTGGACAAGATTTTGATTAACGTTATTGTCTTGCTTGTATGGTTTTTTATTAGAACATGGTTCTCCTAAAATCACTGGCAATTTTCTAGGATAAAGATTTATAATAAACCATTTTGCGCAAAGCATAGGTTAGAATAGGCTTGTCACTTTGTGATATAGCACTATTCCTGTTATTGTATATCAGTAACATGTTTTTGGAGGTGTAATAAATTTTGCTGCATCAAATCCAGTTATATAGAGATTTGCCGTAGGGTAAAATTTCTTTATAGATGTTACTCATTAAATTTTCATCAAATTTCAGAACTTGGAACAAAGCAATTCCCAGTACATTTATTAGTAGTACATGGTTCATTACGGTTAGAAGGCTTACCTCAATTAGATAGAAGAGAGCTAGAAGAATGGTTCCAATGCAATGAGAACGGTAAAATAGAGGGAATTGTATGGCACTGTTTGTCTGGTTCTCTCTACAAGGTATGTGTGTTACAGACTACATGAAAAAAGAGTCTAAAAGTTTTGATGGGACAATAAACTTGTTACATGTTTGCTACGTGTTGAGCACACATAGTTGCCCTTGATTGCTGGAAATTGAAAAAGAGTTAGGTTAATGCTGCTGTCTTGATGAAGTTTCCCTCCTTGCACACTGCATGCAGTAACCTGTAGACCAGCTTGAACAGTTGCAGGAACATATGACGTTAAACACCTTTTCTTGTCAAATTTTAATATCTTTACTGAATTATAATTGTTGTTTTTATCATTTCAGTTGCATAGAAATCATCTGGGATTAAACTGGCCTGTTGATAATTTACTCTTGTCTCAAAAACCTGTGACTATTTCAAATAACTTTAATCAATATGAACTCAGTGATGGAGATAAGAAATCACAGTTTCAGTATTTCGCGAGTATTTGTGGTAAAAGGTGTGGTAAACTTGAAAACATTCATTCATTATTACAAGATATCAGTTGACATATTAAACCAAGGTTGTAAACAATTATATGGTTCTTTATTTTCAGTCATATTTATTGATCACACTTTTATCTTTGGGTCAAGAAATCAGGAAATATTTGTGGTGACATCTCCATATTGTAAAGAAGTGTATCCAGAAATATAACTTTTCTGAATTATTTTTTGAATATGTTTCAATTGATCAACATGCATTTCAAGTTGCTTTAACCCCTTAAATTAAAATTGACATATACTATATAAATCAGATTCTGACACTTTAATATTTAATAAACTTAATGATAATAATAAATTATTTAATTTGACTATTTGGGCCAAACCCGTAGTCTCTTCACAACAGAGGCCCAGCTTAATACATATTATGCCATCCTTACTGGTTTTTTCATGAATCGAGTGTTTCTACATTCAGGCTCTAGTACAACAGTTGACCCTGGATTTTACCTGTTTAGCTTTGATAATGATACTAGCAAAATCCAAGAAAATACGTTGCCTCAGGAGCCAATTATTCCAAATATGTCAGGACATAACAATGTGCAATATTGAAATTAATGAGAATGATTTTATAATGCTAATAGAAAATTTTTTATTGAAATTTGCAATGAAGTATTTGCTGTCTGAATGCCTTTCTCCTGATTATCTGCCCTTCACAACAAAAGGTAATGGATAATCGCGACTATAATTGTTATTGTTTGGCTTAACTCCCTTGTTTCTAAGTTCAACAATCAATAGTTTAGCTTGGCAACGGATAGTCTAAATCAGTAAATGTTTAATTGGGTGGGTTAATCAGGATTTTAATGTCAAAAGGGTATTACAGCTTGGTTAGAATATAGTTGAAAGATGGAAACAAGATTTAAAGAAGTTAAAAATGAAGCTAGACAAGACTGGCACCAAACTAGTACGGGTGTTGGACATCATTACAGACCCGGTTACTATTTTCCAGATTCACAATTTCGAGTAAGTTTCAATTTGAATCATACAAGTACATTTCGTTATTGTGCCAAGACATACATGATTTTTATTCTGTTCATTACATAAATATCATCTTTTTAATGTTGTTGTAGGCCCTGGTAGCTAAAATCTAGGCCTACCCACCTTTTTTTTATGTCTCTTCTAGCCTCAGCGTACTGTCCCTTCAAAAAATAAAGATAACTGCATTGTGTCAATCACTTTTGTTTCGTCCTTAGTCTTAGGCCTACTTAAGTCGAAATTGTCTTTGGGTTGACTAAAATGTGCTGAAAATTGTGCTCTGTAAAATAAAATTTTAAAGACATAATGTATGCTCATGTTTATATTTTTATCAACACAAATACATTCTAAGATTAACAGTACTATTTTGAGAATGTTTTTCCCATTGTCATAAAAATAATAATAGAAAAAATTCTCAAAACCTTATATTTTGCTCAGACAATAGTAATATATTTATAAGCTATTTACCATAATTAATGTATGGTAACCAATTTACAATTAAAATTTTCAGAGTGTTATGAATGAACCTTTACCAAGAAATTTAGCAGCACCAGATGAAATAATAGATAATCAGAGATATGATACAACAACTGGCAAAGCTCATGATAATAAACATCCTGGTACAACTTATAATAATTTAGTTCATTTAAAACCTCCTGGACATTGGAAAGTTAACTATGTCAAAGATTTAGCTGAAAAGGTGAGTGGCAAAAAAAGATTTAGAAAATGTGAATAATTTTCCCAATACTAACTAGTATTTTCACAGAAAATTATTAAGCATCAGAAAGTACAAAACACAAATATTACACTGATATTTTGACAAATTAGGCATGTGCAGCTGAATCAACAGCCAAAAATACTGATTAAGAAAATAGAAGTCCCTCGAAACATAATGGCTAGAAAACCTCTTTGCAGCTCTTAAACTTTGAGACAAATTTTCTTGTATATTTTCAAGATTTTGTTTTCTTTTTTATTGGAATAGCTTGGTCAAGGAGGTTGGAGAAGACCATTAACTATGGGAAATCAGAAAACAGAAACACAAGATAATTTCCGAGCTCAACCTGGTATTAAAGATCACTACAGATTTGAAGAAGTTTATCATCCACAAGGATTTCTCTTACAAGACTATCATAATGAAGGCCCCTCAAAGGTATGTTTGAAGAGTTATTTTTTGTTTCTATCATGGTCATTTGATAAAATATCTAGAAGCTTATTTACGCTTAAGCTTTCGATTAAGTTTAAATAAATCATTAGCAATCATTTGCCTCTAGGCTTGGGTAAGGGAAGAATTTCACTACAATTGCTTTATTAATCAATTGATTCTCTTGGATCCTTATAATTATTATTTATAAACCCTGCTTAGAAAAACCGCTTTCCTTCAACACGATTTCATTGATATCGTTTGAATGTATAGTTTGAAGACACCATTTATTTATTTCTTGCAGGTTGGTTCAGCTAGTACTACTAATCCTAAATTACAAGGTAAACCATTCTATGTACGTGATGGTGGTGTTTTACCTTTACTAGATCCTTATTTATCAACAACACACAAACATCATAGATCCTTTAAACCCAGTGAACTGAAGAAATACCCTAAGAAAGATATTGCCACCTATTGGGATTGTGAAGAATATCCTAAATCTATGGGATTTGGAATGAAAGAAAAGTAAGTAATAAGTTTGAATATTTAAAGGAAATTTTTCACGTTAGACATATCCTTTGTGCCATGTCATTATGAGGAACAAAAAATGGATGGTCAGTGTTGCAAGGAATGATGGACATGTACACCTAATGCATCTTTACCACTGGGTGCATGAACTTAACTTTCCTGCAGAGAGTAAACCTGCCAATAATTTTCATTTAAGTTCATACTTATTATTGTTATTATGCTATTGATAACAATACAAGTTTTTCCATCATTAAATAACTCTTATGTTTATTTTCAGCCCATTACCTAAAAATTCAGTACCAAGAGATAGATTACCCATGAGAGATACTATGGTATTTCCTACTGCTACTAAAATACCACGCCAACCAAAAGCATTGGTACCAGTACCACACAGGTTAGTATTTTTTATCTTACTCTAAATAAGAAATAGTCTAGCTTGTAAATTTTTTCAGTTCAAATTTGGCATCTTTTGAATGCTCATAATGTTTTCCTCTTTTTAACCATCCTGTGATGTTCAATCTTGCTTAATTTAATTCATTTGATGACTTTTTCTCCATCTGTATTTGCCCAGTAAGTAATGCATCACGCTAGGGTTCTATTTATAGAATTTTATATCAATTTTGTTTATTTTATGAAAAATCTACCATTTTGTCACATGACATTACTGTGTTTTGTACTTCATTGACAGAAGATCTGTTTTTTTTTTTCCAGTGGTTTGAAATCAGTGTATAAAGATAATTATACCAGACCATCAGATGTTCGAATGAAACATAACCACTACTGTCCTGTTGATACCCCCTACACCTTACCAGACCCTGGTACCAACTCTATCATGACAGCACCTAAAATGTATACTACAGAGTACAAAAATGTTGGTAGTGGAAAACCTATTGTGGTTTAAATATTTCAAAATCAAAACTCATAATTATGGTGTCACTTAGTAGTGTCTTCTTTTCTTTATAAAATCCTCAACCAATAGTGAGAAACTTTTAAAATTAATTGTGAGGTTATTTTTATATTCAAGGAAGAAGGGAAAAATCAGGAAACTATTTTCGAACTATTTGTAAAGTTTTCGTATACCTTTTGAGACCGTCAAAAGATAGAGACTCGCTTTTAATTAATAAGTCATCACAGGTGTAGCAATATATAAAGATTCTGCAAACTTTTAATTACGTGGTCATGTTTAGAAATATCTCAAAGCTGCAAAATTCAAAATAAGAGTTTCATTTAAAGATTTATTTGGAGTATTTATAATATATCTATATTATCCATATTTGTTAAGTTTGATAAATATTTATATTGTATATGATTTTAACTGCTGTCCTATTGCTGTGATATATACACAAGGATTTTAATAGATTTACAATTTTAAACATTTTTATTTATATTTCACGGTCAAAGTGACACAAGCTCATCTGCTTACTAATGTTTCAGATAGTCATCCATAGCTAAAAGATCAAACTCAAATTTAATTACCAATATCTTGTTAATGAACTTCTAAAGAGAAATTTGTATATATATATATATATATGATAATCCACTATTTTACAGAAAATCAGGCCCTGCTTTCTCAAAACGATAAGGACGTCCTAGGGTTTTGATATCTAACATTGTTTTATGACGTCCTAGCGCTAAGATCGTTTTGAGAATACCGGGCAAGATTTGAAGGGTTTAGCTCTAAACTAATATATTTCAGCTTGATACCCTGATATGTATTATCATAAAAATGAGTTAAAATAAACAGCATTATTCAATGTGATGCAAAGAATAAATTATTTGACTTGTTCAGAGATTGTGCAAAAATTGAATATGAGCCTAATGGATACCCCCACCATGACTATTGCCGTCTAAAACCTGTAATGTAATGTTACAAATGTTATTGGGCATATGATACCGTGCCTAACCAGGCAAGCATATGTTATCCTGCCAAATAAGCAGTATGAGTCTTAAACAGTTGTATAGTTTGTGTAGACTACAATCTCTATTTAGCAGTTTGGAAGGGTGTAGGTTTAATATACAATAAACTGTAAGGTTGCGAGTGTGCCCTTGTCGAATTAGTATGGATGTTGTTAGTGTTTATTCAGCTGTGTGAGTGGGTGTTTGTTACACCATCTAATACCTGGATGGATGGGTGTATGTTAGTGTCTAGTCATGTGTAGTGGGTGTATGGTACAATGTATAATCAGTGTATGGGTGGGTGTCAGGTATATTGTCTAATCATCTGAATGGGTGGATGTATGTTATGTCTAATCAATGGTATGGTAAGGTTTAAATTACACTGTCTTATCAGTTGTATGTTTCAGTGTTTAATCAGCTACATGGATCAGTTGTAAGTTATATTGTCTAATCTGCTGTATGAATGTGTAGGTGTATGTTACAGTATCTTATCAGCTGTATAATGTTCTGAATTGTATTGGTGGGTGTTTCTTGCATTGCCTAATTAGCTGTATGGATGGGTGTATTATATTCTATATTATGAACTGTATAGGTGGGTGTATGTTACATTATCTAATCAGCTGTATGTACAGGATCTATTTAGATGTACGCGTGGGTTTATGATACCCTGTGAAATTAGCAGTCAATGACTGAATGACTCAGCAGTTCAAAATATTATTAAATTGAGACAACAATTCAATTAACGCAGCATTATAGAGTAATAGTGGAAACATAGTACCATAAAAACAACACATAAAGTATTCTTTTAATTCTAAAATATATACAACAAATGTTCAATAATATTTCTTTTACCAGTAGACAGACCTCAATTCAATCAGCAACATTCATTACAATTCATTCTGTAGATAAACCAAATGTCAGATTTTCAATGTGAAAGTTATGCAGGTAGCTCAAATCAGCGAGGAATGTAACTATGATCATGTGTCTCAGGGTATTTTGTTATCTTCATCCTAAACGTTCTACATCTGCAAATACATATAACATTGTTTAAAAAGTTAGAATTATATAGGGCCTACAGACATAAATACCCTTACCTTACTTGGGTTGACAGTGTAGTATTTTCAGCTCTAAGTTTCTGAGATTTAAAAAAAATACCAATATATTTCCAATAACATACGCTTCAGAACATACTTTGAATGATCCACAAGTAATTTGTTTTAATATCTGTCCTAGATCACTTCAGATCGACAAGCATAACAAGTCCCAACTTTCTGATTGAAAATAAAGGGTCTAGAATAATTGTTTCAGACCAGGTTTCAGATTCTTAAAAGCCAAAATCAATTCATTTAACTCAGGGACCTTATTCTTGAAAACTTCAATTAAGATGATTTTAGTGTTCCCATCATCAGATTACTGTATTTCTTAAAATCTGGATTTTATTGAAGTTTTGGAGAATAAGGGCCCTGGTCTGAAAGTATATGACTAAGGCCAAATTTCAGCATTTAGAAATATGACTTGTTACAGTTTCTCAAAAAATCTTGTCAAATTTTGGGTTTGGGCAAGATGGATTCTAAAGGGACTAAGTTCACAAAATTCTCATAAAATATTTGATATCTGCATCACAAAAGTGTGTAAAAGTTTGAATTTGCCACAGATAAAATATAATATTCCAGTTAGATTGTATGATTTTAGGAAACACCAAATAAGAAAAATGAGCACATTTTGAGTTTGAAAAAGGTTGGTTACCAGGTTGAAATTGGAAAAAGACAAATAATTTTTGATAGTCTGTGGTCTATACAATCTAGGAATAGTTGTGAAAGTTTGTCAGGGCTATGGTGTTAGGATTAGTGAATGTTGAAGGATGCACATTGTGAATAATATCCCTAAACTTTATAGACCATTAAAGCTATGTATTCAAGATGACTCTTCAAATTGAAATGTAACCATTCTTGTTCGCAGCAAGAGTTAAAATTATTATACCAAAATATCAACCAAAATTTACTTATTTTGAATATATCTATAACAAATTGTCTCCAATAAATATTCAGATGGTAACCCAAAATAAATTTAAATCAAACTGTAAAGTCATTCAATCTTTCTTTCTTTGATAAAGATTCCTACATGTGGTTGAAACGTTGCAGAAATTAAAGAAAGAAGTAGTATATCAATGGTAATTGCATTTAACTTTACCAATTACTAATAGTATAATCAAACTATGAAAATCAAAGGATGCTAAACTTACCTATTTTATCCTAGAAAAAAGTGAAACTTTCAAAAATCATCATCAAGGAATTTTTTTTATGTTATGTTGCTGACATGACAACAAAAAGAAATGCACCCTGGGATGTCTACAGTCATAATGAACAGGTGAAGAGAAGTCTCTACACTATACTGATTTCAACTCACCACCAAGCTGTTAATTCTACCCTTTCCTAACTTGAAAAATTCTTTATATCTCTGAACAAATTTCATCTTAAATGCTAACATGACAACCAGAAGAAGTCAACCCTGGGAAGTCTGCAGTCAAAAGGTAAGGAGAAGGTTCTGCCCTGTATGATTTCAGCTCACTCTCAAGCTGTGAATTTTACCCTTTACTAACTTGAAAATTTTTTTTTAAATCAGAACAAAATTCATCCTTAATCAAAGATTTGAATCCAACACAATGGCTGACCGTTAATCAACATAAAAAGAGTACAAATTTATACCCTGACTATATTTCATCTTAACCCAATGTACATTAACTGTTGTATTATGGTGGGTGTAAAATTCAATTTTCCTCAAAAGTCTCTAACAAATTCAAAAGCAATATTTGAAATGAATATTATGCAATTAATACATTTATTACAACAATATGTGCATTCAAGTATTATACATTATACTTTCTTTATCAAAGAAACACTCCCATCCGAGTTAAAATGATAATTATATGGCTTCTGGCCTGTTGATGACTTTTATCAAAACATTTTTTTCTGTTGCTTGCTCTGTGTGTTCCTTTGTCTGATCCAGCGCTCAAAACACACAAAATAGAGATCAAATCATAAATAATGCAGTTTAGCATCTTTAATTAGAAATTCATTTCATCATTCAAATATGTCATAATTATGTTTAGGGAAGTAACATTAGCATATATTTGAATAAAATCAATTAATAATTTATTTTATTTATTATAATTAATTGCTTCATTGATTCATGTATTGTCTAATAGGTTTGATTTACGTTGACACAATAGCCAACTTTCTAGAAATGTTTGTAAACTAATTTTATCATCGTTAATTTCATTCTTCTTTTTTTCAATTTCATCTTGTAATCTACAAAATAAAAAACATTAGAAATTCAGAGCTCCATTTTTTTAATTAATGTTCCCTCTTTCTGTATTAGATTGGTCCTATACATTTCCAAAAATAATCCAAATTCTAAAATATTTATTTAAAAACGCAATAAGAAATTGATAAAGAATAGTTTTGTCAGAAAACTTGTCATGAAAAAGCTATGAAAATTATTTATAATAAAATAATAATTTCTGATATAAGCTTACCTGGTTATTTCTGACCATATTTCAGAATAAGTTAATTCATTGCGTCTGATTTTCATCAAAAATTGTTTCTCTTCACTCTCTTCTGTTCTAAACACTTTAATTTCCTTACCATTTACTACATCACTGAAATAAAATGGCTGAAACTTTAAGAATTTATTTGTTCAAATATGAATAACGAGCTAAAACCTTCCTTTTGTTGTACCTCCATGCGATAGTTTTATTTATAGCCAAATTAAACATCTGATTTTCATTCTAAAAAGTGTTACTGATATGTGAATAGATGCTACAGGTCTATATGATACTCATAAAACATTAGAAAATATACCATCGATTCAAAATGCAAATATAGGCAAGAAAGCACATATAAATCATGTGAAATAAAAAGTATCTGTAAGGAAAAATAATGGAGGCTTTTTCATATAGACTAGACATAGTATGAACCTACAAAAAAATAATTGAAATGTCTTACCTAGCATTTTGTAGAAGTCTAACTATAACATAACATAATTTGTTAATTTTGGTTGGTATATTTTCTATATTTTCATGGTTTGTCTTCCATTTCACTAACTGTTTTACACCATTAGACCCTTGAGCATCTCTTAGATATTTATCAAGACATTGACTAGAAAAATACATACAAATATTAAAATCCATTCATTTCTTCTACTACTTTTCTTTTTCATTATCATCTTCCAAAGAAGTTAAAGACTGTACACTTGTGACCCTTCTGGGTAAACCCTTTTCATAATTCTGAGGGAGCTGTGGTGGTCAAGTGATTAAAGTCCAGAAAATACATTTGGATTTTTCAACCCAATTTACTCCTGTCAGTGATGCAGGTTGGAGGAGCTGACAAAGAAAGAGTGTCTCGACATTCAGATGGAACTATAAACCTAGGCCCCATGTGCTACAGACTGTGCATGATAAATATCTGTCAACATTTGGAAATCTAAAAAGAGCAGATTTATACCATGATCTGGCAAAATTTTCATCATTGTAATCTACATTGCACTTACAACATTAGTCCAAACAGGTGCAGAAAAAAGGATATAAAATTTGACTTCAATTTTGAAGACTAAAGGGAGATAATTGACCACTCGCCTTGTTAATAGATGACATCTGCTATCACTGTGATACAACTCTCTCCATTCTGGAGAAGCATAAATAATAGATGATTCATGAAGAAATAATGTCTCTACACATCTGGCATCTCCTGATAATAATAATTCTGTATACCGAAATATCTCTAGGACTGTATAATCACATAATTCTTTCTCATGATTCTGAAAAAATAACAAGAATTTGGAATGACACATGATAGACTATCTGTCTAAAAGTGGACTTTTAATAGAATATTGAAAGAACTTTCTGAAATTTGAGCAGCGAGGGGGCTGTAGCTCAGTTGAGCACTTTACTGAGAATTGAATAGTGTTTATGTGAATTCTGATATGCAATTAATGGATTTAAATAAAAAAATAAAAGAAAAAAAGGTTATTGTTCAGTGGTGAGGACAAGGATCATCAGGAGAAGGATCCTCAAAACTTATGTTGTTACGCACGCAAAATAGAAATTTCTCCTTCTTAATCCCACTTTCTGGTCAAACTTGATGGTTTTATAAGATCAAGTGACTTTTGAAGTCATTGATGCTAAGAGAGTGATGTAGTGACATGTTTTTTCCCTTCGACATCCAGAATCCATTTGGTACCCATTGTTGGCCTATACACTGATAAGTGATAAGGGATAATTGAAATCTCCAATTTGTTTCAAATATTCACAGTTAAGGGACGAGGAATGAAAATGGGCAGCCATAAAAATGATAAGCAGAAGTAAACATTACCTTAATAGTCTGTTTGGGTGGATTAAATCCTAGAATATCTTCAGTTTTAGCTTGATAAACTATAAATACATCTATATCACTTTCTGGTGTTGATAAATTATATCTGAAATATAACGTATTACATAAATTGGAAGAAAATGCTATTAAAATGCAATTTAATCAAAATACAGTGATATACTGTCTGATAACGGCCTACTCAAGATGGTAATGTCATTTCAAAGATTATGTTGGAATTGTTGAATTGATTTTTGGAAATAGTTTTACAGGCAGCAATTTTTGGTCTTTTGAGTTTTATTGACAAATGTAAACTTAAAAAACTTTATATTTTTATCAAATGGGCAGTCATTTTAAACCTATCAATTGTTTGAAAGAGAAGACATTTATCATCACTGTCTTAAAAGTTCTTATGTTCATAGCATATTCACAAAATAATCACCTTTGACTTCCGAAAGGACATGCCAGATGAACTTTTCCTAATTCTTCTTCTACTTTCTTTACAAATGATTTCCAATAGAATTCAACAGAATTTTCAGTCAATATTTTTGAATCAAGAAATGGGTTAGAAGTACAATTATCCATTTTCTGATTTTTATATTCCAATGACGTTTTCATCTCCACCACTTTTTCATCGATTAAGTTACACATGTCTTCTCCAATATTTCCAGGAATTTCTTGCCAATTTCTAGCATTATTTACTAATGTCCCATCACAAGATACAAATTCCTTTGTTTCTTCAAATGATAAGAACTTTTGACACTTGAAAGTTACAATAGAATCTGGCCATGACACACTGAATTGATACCAATTTGAGTTTGTTAAATCTTTTGATTGTCCACTTTCCTCATCAATTTTGCAATTATCAAGTGATGGTGCAGTTGTTATTTGACAGTATCCATGGAAACCATGACAGCCACTAACACTAAATATCAGAATCACTTTTCCCCCATTGAATGCTTGCCCAATGAACTCACGAGGATGAGGTGGGGCTAATCTATCTCGACAAGCCCACTGTCCACTGTCCATACATCTTTGTAACGATTGACTGTTTTGACACTTGGTAATAAAATATCTTTTTTCTTGAAGATTGTCTTCAAATTCCATGTTCATGTTTGCCATTTCTTAAAATTCCTATTACATTTCATGACAACATTGCACAATTCTTATGCAATATTAGACAACATCCACTCTTACTATTGTAGTAATTTAGTAATTTTGAATAAAAAGTTTCTTTTCAATTGAGTAAATCAAGTTTTACTTTCTACATTAAAAATGCTCAAATGCAATAAGCTGATTATACATTAATCAATCAATCTCATGTATTTAATTAATAATTGAGTTAATTGGTAGTAGCTCTGGACATGTGTAAACATGACTACTTTCGGTTTACTGTAAAAATAACAATTTTTAACCAATCAAACTTCATTACTAACAGGTACCCGTTCGTACGCATGCGCCGTAGATTCCATATTTCACTACCGGTTTCAACAAGAAAATTTTAATTGATTATTGAATAATATTTGTTTTGTAGCAAAATGACACATATTTTAGTTTAGGTCTGAACTTAGCCAACAATGGGGTGCCTTTTCTCAAGATTCAATTTCAGTGGCAGACAGCACTTAGAGGAAAACTTTGAAGAGCAGCCGAAACAGTATTCATGGTGAGTAGTCTACTATGTCTGTATAACATTTACAATTACATTACACTTTAGCCTACACAAATAGTAGGGGCATAAGAGTTCAGTCAGTTGAGAAAGCTCTAAGTTTAAGCTTAGTTTAACTAGAGACAAAATGTAAAAAACAAAAAATGGTAAATCTATAGCTTTGAGCTTCTTAATATGATAAGCTGGAGTTCCAAGTTTCCAAGATTTCACTGTAGAGTGAGAAAAAATAGGCCCTGTTTTAGTGTTTATTGCAGATTTTTCACACCTCAGAAGATGCTTTTTTTTAAGAACATAAATCAAAATATCTGTAAATTAGTGTTGGGCATCACCGTAACTTTCGTTTTGTTAGGATCATGTGACTTTGAATTTTAAATGGCTGATGGGAGATCAGTTTCAATAAGTTTTGATGGAACTGGAGACCTAACTTAATGGTGTAGGAAGAAAATGATGGTATGACTTAACTGAAAAATATTCATTTTAAAATAATCTTTCTAAATATAGCTGCAGATCCAAGTTTTTAACCTCCGCACCTGCAGAGATGTGGAAAGTCCCCATTTAACAGGGCCTATTTTTTCTGCTCTACACAACTCGAAATCTATCAGAGAGTTGAATAGAGACAGATATTTCGGTCTATGAAGAATGTTATACCGTACTTTTAAAGACTTTACTCAACAGCACTAATGAAGTTTCAAGTTCAGTAAGGAACTTTAAATCATTTGACTATCCGGTTCTATTTAGGACAAGTTACATAGAGGGAAGCTTTATGAAAACAGATGGGGTGCATAGAGGTGTATAAACTTAATAATTGATCATTTAAAGAAATAATTAAGGTAACAAGGGCCAAACTAAACACCCTTCTAATTTGATAACAGAAAATTAGAAAATATGATACAAGAAGGTTAAAATTATGCAATAGAAATTTAAGAGAATTAAAATTAAAACTGGAAAGTTTAGTTTTTGATATTCCTCATTATTGTAACAATCTTATTCATGTACACATGTCATTAGGTTACTATGAATGAATATTTTATAGTCAATTATTTGAAACTTACGGTCTCTGAACTTTGGTCCTTATTATTAATTGATCCAAAGATCAATGCTAGATGGAAGGCAAGGGCTTTATTGTTTTGAAGACATAATGAAAAGCGTAATGGATGTTGGAAATATCTAAAGATGTGTCTGCTGACATTAGATACTTTGAATCAGGTGATTACAAATACAATACGTGGATAAAAATATTGATTAGTTTTCACCTGTCCTATTTGAAATGACTGAATAACTAGGAAATGTTATCAATGCCTGTTTAATTTCCGATAATGCTTTCTATAAGCTTATACATACATTGTATATTCTGCTAATTTGTGATTTTCGAGTGAAGGCAAACTCTACCCAAAAGAAACTTCAAAATTCTTTTATGATTTAGGATCCAAGAAATATGAGTAGTTGACCACTCTTTATCTATTAACACCCCATTTAGAAATTGGGAGACCAGGTGGCTCAGTGAGCTATCTGAATTCAATCCTAACAGGCAGAGATTATACCCAGTTTCCCCCAGTTTGTGATGACGGCTTACATAAGAAATTTGAAAAAGTCCCTTGTGTTATAGGCTGTGCAACTGTGCAGATTCCAAATCACATGGACATCTGAAAGGGTATGCTATACCACAATCTTAGCAAAGTCTCTTTACATACATAATGCATGGCATTGCTTGTCTTCATTAGTCTAATAAAGCGTTAACTTCAGTTTCCTTTTTTTCTGGTAAATTGTCGATTATGTTCTTCCAGTTCTATGATATACATTTGTTAAAACAGTTTCTCAAAGTTCCATTTCTCATATAATTGATCGTTAAGCTTATTTTACATTAAAAAAATATATTTAATTCAGGATTGAATATGTATAAATCTGATAAACTTAGATGTGAATTTTAATCAAGATAAGGTTAACAGCTGTGTAATTTTTCTATTGCGAATTATATATCAATAGCATAGGTTTTGGTCATGGTATGATTGCAATTGACTTGATAAAATATTAATTATTAATCACATTTGATTGGTTGGTTATTGACCTCCCTTCTTATCTCCTTTCTAATTTATTATCATTAATATATAATTAGCCATTTTAAACCCTGCTTATTTTATTTTTGTTGTCAGGTAACCATGTCAACGGAAGTCATTGTTTTGATCAGATCTAACATGTGCTCATTGTAATCAAAATGAAAGTGGGATATAGTTAATGTGGAGGTGTAAAAGGGAAATGTTGTTGATTTAATAAAAAAAAAAATATCATTGACATTGGAAGTATAAAGTGGGAATATTATTGATTATCAGGATAATAACTGGGTTTATTTTTAGCTGGTGTAATTTATAGCTGTTATGGTTAAAGCATTGTGTTGTCAAGTTCATATTGAATCATATTTCAATTAATTTTGAAATAAAAGTGATTTTATTACCTAGTCTAGTTTATAAGGGTTAATGAAGGTGATTATTAGGTTATGAAGTCAAATAATTTAATTAGGCATCAAAGAAGGATTTCTTTCAAATTAATTCTGAAAGTTAAGGAATAAATCAGTAATAAAATCAGTTTTCATGATAAATAGCAACTAAAAGACTATTAAAAGGTTATGTCTGAACTATAGAAATAAATCTAAAAAGTGGGGCAATAAAAAGTATTTATTTGGTTCATCATTCAGAACATTTTGAAACAGGATTTTACTACATGCATTCCTGTGCCTTTAAATTAAATTGTAATAAACGGGACAGGTGATTTTTGGACCAATCATACTTTAGTCTCAGAAACAAGATTTTTTTTAGCTTAGCCAATGAGTAATATTGTTCACAGCTCACCATCGAAATTTGAGCCTTCAAATCCATCTGTGTCCAGAATTATTATTGAATGTTGAAATGAATTTAAGATAATCTGTGATATATAGACAAGACATACATAGAAATGAGGAGTAAAATTCCTAGTTATTCTTAAAGGAATTAGGCTTTTTTCGTACATTTCTAGTACTTCTGAAGACTAATTACATATATTCAACGCTAAAATCAAACCCTCAAAATGCCGTATCAGTCCCTTTAAGATATATGTGGAGAGATATCTTAATGCCCCTAGTAGATTAGGTCTGGAGTAAAACTGAGAGAAATTTCATGATGACATTTTCAAATATGATTCTTGACATCAACATGATAAGTTATAGAAATCTTGGCATCATAATCAGCATATAAGATACATCTATTAGGTTAATGAGGTTGTATATGCTGACTAAACATTAGAAGTCATTAACATCTAATAAAGTTAGTTCTAGCATTAATAAAGAATATTTTAATCTAATTGAAGCTATATTTGTTTATTTTTATATATAAAAAGTTTAAAACTGCTTACAGGGCTACGAAACAATTTTTAATTTCAGGGCCTGTTCTAAATGTCATGGGTATGAAATACTGGTTTTCTCCTTGTGATTTTATTCTCTAAAATTATTGCCCTTGATGCCTTGAAAGTATGTCAGCATCTAATAGACCTGTGAATAGATATATTAGTTTCAGTCTCAATAGAATTGTCACTGTGTAGACATATTTAGTTGTCGTGCACAAGTTTTGTAAATTTAATTTGTTAGGGTGTGGTTCTTTAATTCCTGACACTATTTAAAAGTGTGATCTTGTGTGATTGAAATGTACAATATAATAGAATAAGATTTGGTAGAAGATTATAAATTGAAATGAAAGGGTTTATGATATTATACACAGTTCTGATTAAACTCTATGTAAGGCCAATATAAACTATATGTTTATTTATAAGGAGTTTATGAGATATTTTGATTGTAATTTTTTTATTAGAATAACATATGAAATATATGATTCTTTCGTAGAGAATGCCTACATTAACAAAGAATTTCCAAAAATAGAACTGAGCATATATTAAGAATATGGATTTTTTTTAAACTTTTTAAATTAAATGGATAATTTCAGTATTTGTTTGACAAAAACTCAGAAACGGTAATTTTTAGTTAAGCTAATCAGTATCAGTTATAGTCTTCACAGCTGACTGACAAAATTTTAGCCTTCAAATCTATGTGTGATGTCAGAGCTAGATAGCTAAAAAGACAACTCATCTTTTCTTGAGACTCTGCCATATATAGAAAAAACGTATAGAAAGTGAAATGAGTGATTTGTACATTTCTAGTACTTCTGAAGACTATTTACATATAATATTCAAGATCTCAATCAAACACTGAAAATTGCCAACTTGTCCCTTTAAGAATATAGAATTGTTTCTGACCCCAACTTAAAACTATTACATGGGAGATATGAAATTAATTATTGCTAAATGTAAAACAAAAATAGATTTTGTCTAGCCTGAAATACTGTTGTATACATGTAGAATATTTTGATTACTGATTATTGATCACAATAATGAAAGAAGTTTTTTCTCATAAGTGAAAATTCTTGAAATCTTATAGAAGTTAAATCATATTTGTTGTGGACTTTGTAAAGTGAAAAGTGAAGAAACATTTTTGTAGTGAAGTAATGTATAATGTGATGCCATAAATAAAGGAATAAGGCTGGGGGTTGCCACTTCATGTCAGAGGCATAATTGCCACTTTGGCATTTTTACAAGGTAAAGATATTAAGAGTTCATGTACTTAATTTGAGACTAGTTACAAGGGAAAGGGTTAAATTGTGCAATGTGGATTCACATTAAAGAGAAGGTCCTCTGAGCAGAACAGCACAACTTACTCAATTTGCTACCATTCCACCATAGCTATTACCAGTGGTCATGAGTACTGAATGCAACTCTCAACTCAGTTGCATAAGAGTTTTGATTGAAATTACTCGCAACCATATACACAACTGGTGATCGCTATGGTGTGAAGGCCCCTTAAAATACATACGAACAGAGAATATGATCATATATAGAATCCTGAAAATTTGTTGAAATATAAATTTAAAATGGTTGAACTTGAAAGTGTGTAGGGAGGGGCAATGAATGGCAATAACTAAAAATCAGTTATATGAAAAATTGTCATTCGATCTTGTTTAAAATCTCATCAATCACAATTGCGTTTTTTTCCAAAATTGACCAAAGCTGTAGCTTCTATAACAAACCAGTTGTGGATGGACACGTATCAAAGTTGTGTAATTGTATAACCCTTTAAATAAAACTCTTTATTTTAGGGATAAAAGAGAAAAAAGCAATGCAGAAGATTATCTAATTGATGGTGTTAAAAATGAAACTGTTGGAAGATTACCTGGTGTATTAAATGGACAACAAATAATTATACAGAATTGTGAGGTATGTGATTGAATTTGATATTTTCTTGTATTTCATGTTTGTATCTGCCCATTGTCAGACACAATCAGAATTGCATATCTGTAATATAATCCTGAAACAAATTAGTAAGATTTGATTTGTTTTTCTTAAAGGAGTACTACCTTTTATAATGGACAAAAAAATTAATGTTTCAAACTTGGACTTACCAGGTGCCATGACTCAAAAATAGAATCTCTGTATAAGACTATATATTCAATGAACTAAATGATTATTTTTTTTTAAAAAAATGCTTCTAAGCGTGTTTCAAATTACTTAGTTTAATGAATTATTAATTAAATGAATCTATTGCACTATTGGATGAACAAAAACTCAATTTTTTGGTCATTTTAGAGATAGTATACCTTTAAGCGCATTTTGCTATCTGAAATTGCCACTGTAAAGGCTTGATAATATCTAAATTCAATTCTTCTGTGACTATCTGCTAGATGGGGAATGCAGAAAACAAGTTGGCTGCATAATATTCACAGTTTGTATCATGTTTATTAACTGAAATATTTGGCAGATTGTCAAGTAAATACTAAAATTCTTGTGGTTTATCTTTGTTTTGAAGTCATTGGCCTTAATTACACAAAAGAGTGTCAAAATAAACTTTACAGTGCACTTTTCATCTAATTAGCAAATACTGTACCTTTTTTATACCCCTGCATGAAATTTGGAGCGTATATTGGCGTCACCCTTGTCCGTCCATCACAATTGCTGTTAAACACTATAGAAGGCATTTGAGGATTTTGAAGAAACCTGGTGTATGTGTATAATATCAACCCAGGATGAACCCTCTTGAACATCAAAAAAATTGAAAATATTTAGTCTGAGTTATTGTTCTGTAAACACTCTAGAAGGCACAATTCGTTACAAATTTAGATGGAACTTGGTGAAATTGTTGATTATCAATTATCACCATAGTATGAACTGAAAATATTTGATATGAGTTATTGCCCTTGTTCTTGAAAATCCTGGTAAACACTCTAGAAGGCACAATTCTTGACAAAATTAGATGAAACTTGGTGAAATTGTTGATTATAACCCAAGGATGAACCTTATTGAAAATCAACAAAATCAGAAAATATGTGATATGAGTTATTTCCCTGGGCTTTGAAGGTACAATTCTAGATGGATTTAGACGAAACGTTGTGAAATTGTTTACTAGGGTCAGATAAGTTTAAGTGATGATTGACAATGGGATTAATTGTCAGACCTAAAAATGTCCTTGATTTAGCCCTTTTTATACGCCCACATGAATATGTGGTCGTATATTGTCGTCGCCCCTGTCCGTCGGTCTGTCTGTCAACATTTCTTGTGAGCACTATAGAGACTACAGTTTTTATCTGATTCTGATGAAACTTGGTGTGATCATTGGAATTGATAAGATCTCGGACAAGTTCGAATTTGACGCATTTTTTGACGGTTTTTGAGTTATTGCCCTTGACTTTGTAAAAACACGTCAAAATTTGTTCGTAAGCACAATAGAAGCTACAGTTTTCAACCGATTCTGATGAAACTTGGTGTGATCATTGAAATTGATAAGATCTCGGACAAGTTCTAACAAGAGATATTTTTGATGAACATTTTTTGAGTGATTGCCCTTGACTTTGTAAACACGTGTCAAAAGTTGTTTTTTTGCCCTTGATTAGAGCTGTGTGATTTAATTGTTTGTTGTATTTGGGTTATTGATATTGATTTTAAAAAAATTTGTGGAATTATTCAGCATAAATAATTTCTTCAATATGAGAAAATTCGTACTTTAGTCACTAAAGACTGTTTTATTATTTCTGACAGCTGCCAGTGGGCGTATGTTACCTTGCAAGGCAAGCTATCTTTAATAATTATTTAGATGATGATTAAGTAGATATTAATTTCATTATGTTTATATTGTAGAATTGTAATATTTATATCTATGACTATACTGCTACAGTAACAGTTGATGATTGTATTAATTGTAATATATTCCTAGCACCAGTTAAAACCAGGTAGGTTCATATTATTCAATCTTATATGATTTTATGCTTCATTATGCTGATGCACAGTGTGTTATTATGGAATTATGATAATACTTGTATGTGTATTTTGTGCTTATGACTTGCTTATACTAACAATACGTAACCATTAATAACCCTGAGTGTCCATGCCCATGATCGTAGTCATGGCTTGTTCTGTATTTTTCTTGCAGAATGATAAGAGAAACTGTTATTTAAGGCATTGTGTGGAAAATCATATGATCGCCTTATAATCTGATAACAATGCAAATCGAGATAATTTTTCTACAGAAGCCGAGTTAGGTCCCACTCAGAAAAAACATGAAACAAACATCATTTTTGTTTGATTTGCCTATTAGGACTGTAAGAGATATAATGAGGTCTCATTAAGATGATAAATATATTTCAGTGTATTTATAAGAGATTGTAAGAACTGTAATGTAGCTGTGATCTGTCAACAATTACGTACTCGAGACTGTAGTAAACTGAACATCTATCTATGTTGTGCTACTCAACCCATTATTGAATCTTCAACTGGAGTTAAAGTTGGATGTTTCCAGTATTATTATCCAGAATTAGAAGGTTTGTTACAGTTTTCATATTGGATTTACTAGCATCTCAGATCTTATTTTCAATGAATGAAATAAATTCTTTTGTGTGCTGATCATTTGGATCCATCTTGCCATATACTTGTATGTCTTCATGTGTTTCCATATGGCGTCTTGTAATGAACATGTACAGGAACATTAAGAAATCGAAAATTAGAGTAATTGATGAATTAAGCATATTCAGTAAATTAAAGGTGGGCTATGATATAAGAATTTTTGAGGAAAGAGAGTAATATGTGACAGCATAAAGGACTTATCCTCCAAGGAACTTTTATATCAGGATTGTCAAACTGAAAATATACATGATATACATAAATATACATTGTTTTGGTTATTTTAGGTCAGTTTAAATCAGCTGGGTTAAGTATATATAATAACAATTGGAGTAATATACATGATTTTACACCTGTACCTGGTGAAAATAATTATACTTTAATCTCACAGGTAATTACATTCTTATATAATATTATATCAATACCCAGAAAATAATATATTATAATGATATCAACATACTGTTAACAAAAAACATTAATTACATATATATCATAATGATATCAACATACTATGCCAAAGTTATTGTATGTAAGGGATATCAGCCTTCATTGCAGTAGGCAGTAATATTGCAATTACCAACCAACTGAAAACCTATTCCTTTCATTTATACAGTTACATGATCTGTGAAAAATTGGGTCACTCCCTTCTCTCTATACATTTACATTGTAAATTACAGTAAATTGTTGCTATGTCTTAGATTTAAACCTAGTTATATCACAACGAAGCACCACCCATTTTATTATACAACGAAATATTCCTTTATATCATATTATAATTCAATTTTTGATGCGTTTATAAATTTGTTATTTTAAATTGGGTCACTTCCTGTCAATTACAGTAGTAAAATACTTTTGAGTTATAGCTACTGGAAACATTTTCACTATGATGACTCTTAGAGCTCTTCAACTTTTGTTGAAAATAGTATGTGTGTTAAGTGTATGAAAGTTCTCAATTAATAAGAGTACCTTGTGTATTGGTTGTTTATGTTTATGAACAATAAATGTATGTGTTTATTGTAGGACTGTAAGATAGAAGATTTAATACCACTGCCAACAACTGAACCCTTTTCTACAATACAAGTATCATTAGAGAAAGACAAAAGTGTGGTACCATATACATTAGGTAGCAGACATAAAAACTCAGATGAGGTAAGGAGCAAAATGGGATGGTTTAATAGGAAAAGGAACCAAGATGGAAAGTAAATAAAATGAATCTGCAGAATGGGAAAGTGTGAAATGACAAGGGGTGAAATGGGAAGGAACAAAATAAAAAAGGGTAAAATTAGAGAGGGCTATATGGAAATAAACTGTTTAAAGTGGAAATAGGCGAAATAATGGGATTATCGATATATCATCTATTCAGGGCTTAACAAAGAATGATCATTTTCCTGATAAACTTCAAACTGTTTATATGTGGTGATTAATTGTAAATTATATTTTATTTTCAGTCATGTTTAGTTGTATTTTTTAATGATGGAGGTTCACATTCAAGAGCAACAAGTTTTACTGATTCTTTACTTCTACAGGTATGTAACTGACTCAGGGCAAATGATCTGTAAATACTCCAAAAACAACATTAGGGAGCAAATGATATTGAAATTTGATTGATTTTTTTTATACGCCCACACGTAAGATGGGCGTATATTGTAATCACCCCGTCGGTCCGTTCACATTTGGCTCGTGCTCACTCTGCAGGCTACAGTTCTTTATGGATTCTTTTGATTTTTATTTTGTGTGTCAATGTCATTATGAAGATGATCCCTATTGATTTTCATGATGATCGGATAATTTTTCACCGAAATATCGTGTCTGACTTGACGTTTTTCTCTATTAGCTATATTGTGCAACTCGTGCTCACTCTACAGGTTACAATTTTTTACAGATTCTTTTGATTTTTATTTTGTGTGTCAATGTCATTATGAAGATGATCCCTATCGATTTTCGCGATGATCGGATAATTTTTCACCGAAATATCGTGTCTGACTTGATGTTTTTCTCTATTAGCTATATTGTGCAACTTGTGCTCACTCTACAGGCTACAATTCTTTACAGATTCTTTTGATTTTTATTTTGTATGTCAATGTCATTATGAAGATGATCCCTATTGATTTTCATGATGATCTATCGATTTTCATGATGATCGGATAATTTTTCACCGAAATATCGTGTCTGACTTGACGTTTTACTCTATTAGCTATATTGTGCAACTCGTGCTCACTCTACAGGCTACAGTGTTTTACAGATTCTTTTGATCTTTATTTTGTGTGTCAATGTCATTATGAAGATGATCCCTATTGATTTTCATGATGATTGGATAATTTTTCACCGAAATATCGTGTCTGACCTGACG